AAAAGTGATGGTTTCATATCATGTAACACGAAAGAATATTTTAAAATAAATTAGCTGAAATGTTCTGGATTTAAAGAAAAAAAAATGAGTAAATATTTTATTGAGCAATATAAATGCAAATTAATTATTTTAATTAAAGATATTGTATTGGGTTTAAAATGATTTAAAATCAAACAAACGCATTATAGCTCAAAATTAAATTCATCATTTAATTGGAATCTTATTTTGAGCTATAATGTGTTTAATATTTGATTTATGTGTATACTATCATTGCGTTTTATGTATGAGCTGTAATGCGTTCAGCACAGTTTTATCAATAGAGCATATCTATTTAGTGAATTAGGAGAAATTTTATAAATGTTAATTCTTGAAACCGTTTTCTAAACTCTTTTTTATTCTACCAAAAATTAGAAACGAAGTTGAAAAACAGTGAGCAGTTTAAGAACTCAGGTTCAAATTTCACGTTTTGTAATAATATTGTATTAAAAATATCAAAATTTAAGGGAAAAAAAATTAAATTTAACATGGATTAAAGATGGAATCGGCACAAATAAAGCATTTCAAAGGTGATGATTAAATAGCTTGAATCGCAAGTCGGTATAACATCGGATTGAAGATAGCAGGATTTTCGAAACCCCGTGGAAAAGCGAAGCAATAACTGTGTAACAGTTACACAGTAACTGTTGAAGGAAAAAAAAAATCTCTTAGATGTTCCATGAAATCGGCGCACATTGAAATGCAGGAGTAAAGTGATTACTAAAATTAAAATTCACGCATCATAATTTTGTCGTATTAAAATTATTCGGATTTTTAAAACTGTAGAAATTCTTAGTGATTACCACCGAAAAAAACGATCAAAAAGCTACATTGATTTAGATTTGAATCGTCTAAAACTGAAGTGTGCAATTCAAAATTTTGATAATTTTTTTTCCCTAAAAAAATTAGAATAGTTTCTATTATTATTATGTTTAGATGCTGCCGCGGGCCGGGAGTCAAGCAGGTTGTGCACTCCTATTTATTGTGAATTATTTCTGGATCGTGGGCTCCCCCTCGCCCCGTAAGCAGTACGGGGGTGTTATTTACGTGATTGATAATGAGAGAAATTTTAAATCTGAAACTGTCCCTTAAAATACAGAGGGTATCCGTAATCTGGGAAATATGGTCCCAATAGTTTGGACCCCTTATGCACACAGCTCAAAATGAGTATTTACCGTTTACGTAAATGGAAATAGCTCGCAATTTGAAATGCATGCTTACGAAAATGGATATAGCTCGAAATTTTATATGCATGCTTACAAAAGTGGACTCTGCAAAAAATGCGTCTTTATCAAACCAATTTAAAAACTAAACGGAAAATTGCTTACTTGCTTTCCCTTATTTATTAAAACACGAAGCAGAATCATTATGAGACAAAACCCCGTATTTCGGAGTTAGGTTTGCTAGGTATACTGCAGATTAGTCACCCCCGGAGATCAGCTGATCGGCCTTTAGAAGAATAATAGAATTTCAAGCATTAAGTAAAATTTCAAGTAATGCAGTCAAAAATTGAGGAAAGATGTAAGTATAATAAATTCATATTGTTCATGTGAGAGTGGATTTAATTTTTATCTCTTACATGTTCGTATGGTATCGTAGTGAATTTGTTATTATAGAATGTTTAGTACAACATATGGTAGCTTAAAATTAGAAAAAGAATTTAAAAAGTGCTTATTATCTCAACGTGACACTTTTGATTGATTAATGAAAATAGCAAGCTTCAACTAATCTTTTTATGTTATTTCTTTTCTTCAAATCTTTTTATCAATTTATTATTCAAAACTCTTCTTGTCAACATATTTAGAAGAAAAAAAATTTAGTTTGGTCGTTCAGCTTCGCACATAACAAAGATGTAGGTTGGACATTTACTTCAAAGGAGCTTAATCTGACGAACTTAATGCTTAAATCTGACGAACAAAAAGCCTGATATTCAAGCTTTAACTGAAATCCTCCAAGCACAAGGTAGTCATTGTAGAGGTAAAAATAAACAATTGAGTTTTCAAATTTTCAGCTTTTTTCTTACATTTCAGTTGTTAACGTTTTCAATTTTTTCCAGAAAACATTACACTAAAAAAAAATTACTCTCGTTTTAATTATTTCACTTTAAATATAACTCTTTAAAAAAAAGTGAAAGGGATACACATTTTCTTATTTTTAATTTTCTGAAGTAACTGGATAAAATTGCTTCATTATTCAAAATCAGGTATAATTTAGTATATATTCAAATTCATTGCTGTTCACTTGAAGCAATGTATGGCTTTTTTCAATCAAAAAGGAATAGGGGGTGATAAATGTCAGCCAACTTCTACACGGTTGGGAACCACTTCTGTAAACCATCAAAAGTTTCGCTACCAGTGGTGACCAGATAGTCCAATTTAACTCATGGCTTCGAGGTTTTCTTTTAAAATCCATCATGACAAACTCAACACTTCTTGGTTACTCGTTTCCCTTACTGCTATCGACAACTTTGCTCTAAATGTAAGATATCACATATACTATTAAGAAGAAATCGTTGGGGGTAAAAATCGTCCATGGACTTAATGCTTTGTAAATGCCTTTTAATTCGCCTATTCTAGACTAAAAATAGGGTATAATATGCATTTCATGTGCATCCTGTGCTAATTATATAGAAGACAAGGACAAAATATAAATTTTTTTAAAAATGTTTTACAAATATTTTTATCATATGTTTATGTTTTTAGAAATTTTAACATATATCTTTTGACTGATATTAATAACAAAGCTCTATTTTGAACCAAAGAATTAAAAATAATTGAAATGTCCTCGAAATAACCCCCTCAAACGAAGTTATTAAAAATAATTAGAAAACGAAGAGCAATGCCTATCAAAGAAACGGACAATGTTATACATTAAATTAAATGCAGACTATATAGAATTTTTTAACCCACTTCATATCATAATTGCATTATCATCAATTATAGCGCTATCTGTGATAACTATATAGAGGAGAAGTACAAAATAAAAAAATTTCAAAGCAATTTTATAAATATTTTTTAGCATATGTATATGTTTCTAGAAATTTTAATATCCATTTTTTGCTTTGATATTAATATCAAAGTTCTCCATTGAACCAAAAAATTTTAAAAAAACAAAACATTAAATGTGTCCACCAAATGCCCCCCTCAAAAGCAGCTAATAATTAGAGAACGAACGAGGGGGCGGGATAGCCTGGTTGTTAGGGCGCTGAACTCACGTTCGTGAGAACTGGAGTTTGAATCCAATTAGCCGAAGACTTCCTGTGTGACAAATGGTGACTGGTACACGTTAGATCTGATGGGTCAAAAACTCCTCCAAATTCCCATGAAAAAATAATTAATTATACCTCTGGGGATACTGGATTGGGAAAGGGGGCGATACTGGATACTGGATTGGAGATTGATCATTCTCTGGTTCAGGTCAAAATTATGATCTATGGATGAATGAATGGATGTATGGATCAGCCTACCCTATAAATGACTGTGACGTATGGGTGTATTAGAAGTCTAATTATTGGACATAGATGGCGCCACTGGAAGACAAGAACAATCACGCCCCTCTGCCTTAACAGACATATGAGAGAGAGAGAGTAGATTTGATATTAATGTACGCCTTTGTCCCACAAAATGTTTTCTATGAGCAGCAAACATTTAACAATAAATGTCCTCATTACGCGCACCTTCTGCCACTAAAAATCAATAACTATCGTACGTCGTTGTATTGGACGCATCCATCTCAGCACTTCTTTACATTCACTTTAAATGTTCTCTTGCAAACTGGTTAATTAATTTAACGCCCTCTGCCGTGCGCTATTTTTAACATTAATTTCTCTTTTTGCGTATTTCGCCATATCTCTGAACCTATTTAAGTGAACCAAACAAATTTTATAAAACNAACCCTCTTCACTATTTTTAAGAAAATTCAATATTAATCTTTCTATATAAAATAAATTTTAATTAGCAATATATTTCATAGAAAAAAAAGATACCTCTGTATTATGTCACTAAAATAAACATAAATCAAGTAATTCAACTAAATGAAATTTCATTACTAAACTGCTTCACACAATTTCGGCAGATCAAACAAAGGATTTCTAAGGAAGCAGAGAAAAACTTTGATAAATGAATTTTTATAACGATTTTCTTAAAATACATACATTTTACAAACTATTTACTTTAAAATCTAACGCGTGGTATTCACAGATATTTAATAAAATTCATTAATCTTTTTAAAAATTTCATGTAATTTTTTTATATACTGCTATGAAACGTACACTAATATTATAAATCTTTAATTAATAAGAATTACCTGTAATTAAAACTTTCATGATGATAAAATATGAAATCCCGCGCAGCCAAATACAGAAAATGGCTTCCTCTAACAATAGCTTTTGTTTAAACAACGCCAATTGCTTTGGCGAAAAAGTCTGTAGGGTCAATCAATATAGGGTTATAAGAAGATTGATGGATAAAAGCTAGCGTCAAGCTCACTCCGCCCAGTTACCAATTCCTAAATTGACCAAATATCCAGAATTAGTGTCTCCTGGGACATTCTCGCTGTGCGCATATATAATCGTATATGAATGCGTGCAAACAGTTCGTCACTTTAAATGAAAAATTAACTTTTGCATATTCAAAGAGGCGAACGAGAACCTGATTCTTGAAATACATTTTCCCGCGAAAAATACGCCACTCGATGAATTTGCATATGCGATGCAAGGTAAATATATTTTCCAATCAGGTTCTGAATCACGTGTCCGAAAACATATACCCGAATTTTTCGCAAGAATTGAAAATAGTTCCTGATTTTCCTGCATTCACTAATCAAGTTTTCCCTTTCTTGTGGTGACTATCAGAGTTACGTATATTGTATATGCAGTGCAAACGGCTCTTAAAAATAAATTTTACCGATAACGTGAAGATGAAATTTCAAACAATCAATTTAGGTAGATGGACTGTTATCTTATTTATTTGGCGTAATATGGCATCACATCACTTCAGTTTGTCAAAATGGCGAGCGTACAAAGAGATCACTGGTGTTTTGTAGTATTACAATGTCTTTTACTTAATTTATTACTCTGTCGAAATGGTACATACGCAGATAAAAATAAGTATTGTACGTTTTAATATTTGATTTTAATTAAATAAGGTTTTTCTTCTTATTTGAATCCATAAAAATAATTGTTTATTTTAAATAGTGTTCGGTTTGTATGATTAGTTTCGTTTTCGACGTTTGGGTTATAATTTCAAATATAACAATTTTTGTGTTAATCAATTAACTTCAGCATTTCAATATTTTACATTATTAAATTTTTATAAAATTTTATTTTGTCATGTCGTAATTTGTTTGTGACATTTTTAAAATGCAATGATAAAAGTAAATATGGATAAAACTTAAAAAGTGCAAATTATAAGATGGTGGGCGTTACTGTAAAGTCGTATTGTTGTCCGCATTGTTGTATAGTAAATTTTAGGAGGCGTACTTGTTGTCTCAAAATCTCTTTTTAAATACATAATTGTGAGAAAATACAAATAAATGTAAACCCAAATTTTGTTACAACTCAAAGCATTAAAATTTATATTGAGGTTTAGGGACTAATTACCACAGAGTAGTTAAAGAACTTCGAAGTAAAAACTTGAAATCACTGTGTAAAAATTTTATTCGTAGAAAAAAACATTTTTAACATTTTCGTAAAAAATCATAAGTAATAATAATCATAAGTTTTCCTAATAAATAATTGAGATAAATATATAAAATCTCAATTTGTATTATCTGATCTCAGAAGTGTGTTTAATAAAGTGGGTGTTTTTATAAACAACTATCCACATTTTTTTAAAAATAGTTTCTAGGGAATTTAAAACAGGAATCAATTGGGTATTGTGGGAATTTTTGAAATTCCAGATTTTTTAAAAAATAATTTTTAGGGAATCTAAAACAGGAATCAATTGGGAAGTTTTGAAATTCTTCATAGTCGAAAATAGTTTTTTTTCTTCTTTCAAATTATGTACTATTGAAATAACTATTTTCAATAACACTTCTGCCATATGTTAAAATTTTTTTTTCTTCAAAGAATTAGATGACATTAGATGTAGTGAATTAGATGACATTGGTTGTTCTGGTAGAAAACTATAAAATGAAAAATTTGTATTTTCATATTTATTAATCTATGTGTAAAATGGAGTCTAAGAGCATGCATCAAATTGCTTCAACTTTTAATTTAAACAAGTTTGTTACGCTTATAGTTTTAGTATGACATAATGTTTTTTTTTATTTGATTATAATTTTATTTACTCTTTAAAGTTCTGTAAAAAAACATAAATATTGCAATATTGATTGAATACTTAGATTAATTTGAGACCATTTTTCTCTGCATCGAATTAGATTAATTGCCTAAGTTGCTCCAATCGGATTCACAATTTCCTGATTTAAATTTTTTATAAGAGTTCTTATTGCAGTGAAAAAATTGTATACATTTTTTTTATAATATTTACAAAAATTTTTTACAATATAATTCATTTAACTTGACAATAAATCTATGACACACAGAAAAAGTTTTAGAATGGGCTAATCACTGATGTTTATCTTTTTTCATTTCTTAACAATTGACTGCATTTTTAGCAATTCTGAGCATATTTCAGTGGCTCCAGTTTTAAAGCATCTACTGCTATTATTTTTTTGTTTGTTGAATATTGCTTTAAAACCTTTTTATGTATTATTTATAGATCATATATCTACTTTATGCACAAAAGAGCGTAATCTACAAATGTATAAGAAAATAGATGGCACAGTACTAACATCTGAAGGTGAAGATAATTTGCAATGCGTTTTAACCTTTCAAACAGATACCATACTTCAGCGATTTATGCTAAGATTTGAGAGATTAGCTTTGGACTGTAATGATCATCTCTTTATTTATGATGGAGCACATGCTTTTGGAAATCATAAGGTAAATTTGCTACAATTTTTAATATGTAATACTTAAAACAAATAATAAAATGTCTAATGTAGACTATGATTCATTTAATTAGATATCGTTCTTAATTGTGCTTATAGTTTCTTACCCATTCAACTCTTATGCTTTTTAGTTTATAATTAGAATTTTCTGCCATCTAAAACAATTTTAACATTAAAGAGCATCCTAATAAAAGTAGTTTATATGAAAACAATAAAATATTTTAGGTTTTGCTCTGAATTATTTCTTAATCTGCAGATTGTAACTTCATAAATTTGTAGAATAAGTTTAAGTTGGAGACAGGTTGTAAACCACATAGTGAAATTTGAGGATGATGTTAAACTTTTATCATCAATTTTCTGAAATACACATTTTTAAACTATAACTGTCTAAGAATTATTTACAGTCAACCCACTCATATATATACAGTATGCATTAAAGTAAGTACAGTTAAAATTTTTCTAAATTAAAAAGGGTCACTAGTTAGTAGTAAAAGGTTAAATTTATAGTTAGCTAAGAGTGAAAAATAATTAGAGCCTTGTGGTATTCCATCAGTTTGAACAAAAATGTGTTTTTCACTGTAAAGATAATACATTAAATAGACAAAAATCAATTAGAATTTCCCAATAATCAAAATCGCATTAAGGAAATTTTTAAAATCACAGTAATAACTCAAAAGAACATCTTTTAGCTTAGAGAGGGGAATGCTATTAAAAGAGCGTTTTAAATAAAAAGTCGCAATAGAATTTTATTTTGTTTAATAAATTCTAAAATAGGTTAAATATTAATAATGATCCAAGAAAAACCTTTACTATTTTCAATAATTTTATTTAAGTAATTAGAGAAAATGGTGCCAGGTTTAGTTAGGTAAGACTTAGACCCTCAAGTGATTTAGAAATTTTATAAAATTTTGAACTGATTATTAGGTATAGAAATTGTATCTATTACTAGTTTTAATTTTTAATCTATTATATAAGGCTAAAATTTTTTTAATGACAATATTATTAGTTAAATTACTAGGCTTAAAATTTGTTCTGTAATTTAACTCCTTATTTAAAAGCTCGACATAGAATTTTTTACAAAAGATTGTATAATTATTGTTAACTTTGGTTACGGGGGTAATTACATAATATTTTTGTAGTTGCTTAATTGGACTTTTGAAAAATTTGTTAAATTGTTACTGGTATTTAAATTTTCCTTATTAAAAATAAAGTTTTTAAAGTAATAAACAAACCATTTTCTTTCTGTTAGTACACCTAAAAGTAAAGATAATCTATTCGATATCTTTAAACAAAATTTATTGACATCATTGAGAAAGTATTTTAAATGTATTATTATTTTTTTTAATTCACTACTCGCTTTATATATTATATATTGATTTTAATGCTCCGTTTTTGTTTGATTGTTTTATTTTATTTTGCATTTCTTGTTTTATTTTACATTTTTTGCTTAAAAAGTTCTATTTTCGTTTCAATTTTATTGGTGCTCCTCACACTATATTGATATATATTTTGCTTTGGCTATATTAATGCAATTTTTTCAGATATAATAGTGTGAGCTGATGACAATANTAACAGGGGCAACATCTGCACAGAATGCAGAAAAGATCAAATAAGGAGACACAAAAGAGAAAAAAATATCAATCCAAAACTGATTGAATGCATTTTAAAGTAGATTGAAATGAATTCAAAATATTTGTGTGAGGCTTTAATTTTGAGAGCTTTTTGATTATACTACTTCATGTTGCTGTCAGAGTTCACAAAAGACGATGATATCAATGATTTACTTTTAAAGTTGAAAGTTAAATTAGAAAAAAAGTTTTTTTTTGATTTTTTTTTATAAAAATCAAGCATCTAAAAAAAACCTCTTATCTTTTAAAACAAACTAATTTCTATGATATGAAATTGTATGTTAAATTTGTTTTTACACATTATATCTGTTGGGATCATTTTTGTAGATCCTAAATTTTATTCATAGATCTGTCTTTTCATGACGTCAATAGAAGTGGCATTTCCGTACCAAGAAAATGACGCTGCCTAAAAATAAAATCGTTTACGGAAAATCGTGTACCTTCCATAACAAGTTTGAAGTCAATAGAGGGTAACCTCTTAGAACGACCAACCTCCATTAACAACCATTTTATTGTGGAAAGGAGAATGGTCACTTCCTAGAGGTTTCACTGTATGTATGTAAATTATAATGTATGCTGCTCATTTGACATAAATTAATCATTTCTTTCATCATTACATTATTTTTAAATATTTTTTAATTAAAATATATTACCTTATATTCTTCAGGCTTCCTTAAGGTAAAAGTTAAAATTTGTATTTATTCAATTGAAAAAAAAAATCAAGGCAAGATCATTTTATTAATTAAATTGATACAACTGCTGTAAGTTGAATACTGTAGAATTTTCATTATCCGTCACCCATGGGACTGGAAAATCAAAACAGTCAGATAATCTGTGGACATTTTTTATTTCGATTTTGTGAGGAAATGAACAACTAGTATAGCAATAATTGTGTTGATCTAAATTTAAATAGATGTGATTTGGGGTTTAATGACACAAGGTTCAAAAATGAACGAATATAACATTAGTTGTAATGATGACATAACACGTGTCTTTGTTATTTGTCAAAAGAGGAATTGTATAATTGTATGATTGGGCGTCAGATAATCTGGGTTCTACTGTACCTAATTAAGGACATTAAATAATGTTAAAGTATTACATATTCATATAAACTGGGAAAGAAAGGGGAACTCATTATAATATTTTGAAGTTAAATTTTCATTTGCATATTTAGTTGTAGTAAAGTAATATTTAAGCGTGTATGGAAACATTTTTAATTGTTGATATTATTAATTGATAGTTTAAAAAGATTTCCTGATTGTACTTTATTATAGCATGATAAGATTTAATTTAGAACATAAGCTATTATTTAATCCTTTATTTAAAATAAACAAAAATAAAAAAAAACTTGGTTTATGCAAAATAAACAGGTTTTTTAGTTTATTGAAATTTTTTTTTTTTAAACTTTGGAGAAAGTTGATGTCTACGCAAATTTTTTTTTCTAAAATAATGAAAACAAATTGTTTGAGCATATTTTTCTTAAAGAATTAATTGGAATCTAAAAATTTTTTTAGTTTTTGGTATGTAGTTTTAGTTTTATTTACTGTTTTATGAATAGTGAATTTTTACCCCCCCTTCCTCAAAAAAAACTTATCTAATTCTTATAACTGCAATATATTTATCAAATTTCCATAAACAGATCTTTAACATTTTTAGATGGTAGATCTTAGTGCATTTGAAACATAACCTAATTTTCAAGATTTTGTTAACATTTCTGGTAAATTGGAAAAAGTTTTAAATTAATTGTGGAGAAATAATATTTTTGTGATAAAAATTGCAATTACCAAAAGTGATTATTGATTTATTCTTTATCAATAGGCAGATTTGTCATGCAGAAGTACTAGAGCTGATGTAGGGACCATCTTTACACAAAGTAATTATGTAACTCTTAAATATGAAACTGACAAGTGGACTCAAGCTGGGAATGGTTTTAAACTTGTCATTACCACTTTTAAAGATTCTCGTAAGCATCTTTTCATAGTGTTTCATAAAATTTTAATTTAATGTTCCTTAGTGAATAAACAAAATTGTGTGGTTGTTTTAAATAATAATAAAAATAACTAATATAATTATAAATTGATTTTATAACAATTTATAGATCAAAATTTACAAGTTTTTAAGAAATTTATTATTAATGTGTATTAATAATTATTAAATGTGGTTGATGGTTATTGAAGTAGGAGTTTTATTGATTCTAGTTCAATTTTTAAGAATTCTAACAAAACGCTTGGAACAGCAAGTTTTATGTCCAATATAATGAAAATTAATGTTATGAAAATCAATTATGAGTAGTGTAAAAGAATCCATTTTTCATTTTATGTACATACATCGATATGTATGTATATAAATATACATACAATAAATTTTTTAGTTACATACTCGTATGTAAGCTGAAAAATGAATTGTAAAATTTATATTATTGATTACAAAAGTAAGGAAAATTCTATGAAATCAGTCTTGAAAAGTCAAGGAATTTATATGTATGTAGTATCTAAAATACTAGCTTAATAAAATTAAAAGGATCTTTTGAGACTAAACTCAAACAGAATTATATCTATCTGCAGATAAGCTTATCTGGTCTCTGAGAACATTAAATTTCTCTTTCACATACTTAACTTGGCTCTTCGCGTATACATTTAGTCCCGTTGAATAGCGATGAAATCTTTATTTATAAAATGAATCCACCCCGCGCAATAAAATGTCTTAAAGAAACCGAATTACCATTAAAATCAAGACAATGTTGAGATATTAGTTCATCTCCATCTGGTCTTAAGATCTTCCAGACGCCGGTTCTAACAACTGGGTTATATAGATCACATGACATGAACATATGTTACGTTAAAGAAGTGTACACTTATCTTTTAGAAATGAAATGGTAAAGATGTGTCCCGGAGCCTCTGCTCCGTTTGTATATAATTTGTAAATAGATTCCTTATTCTTCATTCAATAAAAGTATAGAGAATTCATTATGTTATCATCCTTATAGAAAAGGATATTAAAAATAATTAAAATATGACTGCGAAAATTGGAAACCACAAAATGATGATTAATAAAAAGCCATGGCTCAAGAGTTACGAGAAAAAATAGAGAAGGAGCACTACATGTATATATATTTTTTTGATAGTAACCACCTTGATTCAGTACACTATTTAAATGCAGTGTTTTCATTTTTAGTTTGGAAATTAATGGTTGTATTAAGTAATGCATTTTTTTCTTCAATTAAGCTGTTGGTTGTCGAGACTTTTTATGCATGAATGGCTTCTGTATAACACCTGATTTGACGTGTGATGGAGTTAATCATTGTGGAGATAATAGCGATGAAACTAGTCATGCCTCCTGTGTTGGTTAGTATATTTTTATACAGAAATTTTCAAAAATGCTTTCTTGTTATGCATTTCTCTGATTAAGCAATGAATGACGGTTATTTATATTTTAAAAGACTTTAAAGAAACACTAAGGTTTAATTTAAAAGTAAATTTTTTTAACCCTTTCAAAGTCAGTGGTACAAAATGAGTTCCATTTATTTTAAATTATATTATTAACTACAAATTTTTTTTCTAAATATTATTTTTTGAGAATCATATTTAGTTAAATTTAGTTGGAGTAATTTTTATTACTGTCTTTTTAAACTTAAATTTTTATCCTAAATTTTCTATCTTGTAATGAAAAAATTGATTTCCTAGGGAAAATTTAATCTGAAATATCTTATAATTCAACCTGTTTTCTTACACAACTATCTAATACATAATCTATTTCTCCTCTTTTTATTCAAGGGTAAAATAGAGCATGCAAAGTAAAAACCTATTTGAATGCTAAAAACTTAATTATTGTTAGGAGACATTTTTTCACTTTTTTTCAAAATTGATTTTAAATTCTAAAGATTTCTTTGTCTTATTCACTTTTTAGATGATTCTGCCAACACAGGAATTTTAGGAATGGCTGCTGGTGTATTTACTGCATTTGTAATAATTCTAATACTAGTATTTGGCATTCTTGTTGCAAGCATCGCTCTAGTTCTATGCCGTAGAGTTCGAGTGCAAGGACATATGATTGAATCTCAGAATGCTTCTACACATCCTGTAGTATCAGGACAGCCTTATCCTAGTAAGCGTGTAATGCCAATTTTGTCTTTTCTAAATGTGTCGTTTTAGATGGCTAGATCAGTCTTGTTATGTTTGAACATAAATGGTTTGTTTTTAAGGTAATCCTTAGCATTACTTAGTGCATGGCTGGTATTTGTCAAGACAGCATAGTGCATTGTTTTTTTTTCTTTCTAGTCCCTTTATATTAGCTATTGTGATTTAAGCATTCTCTAATATTATAAATTGTCAATGTATGTGTGTATTTTATAAAAAAATGTCAAAGCTAATTATACTTCATTTTTTATCTATACAGTTAAACCTTGCTTGAAGCTCAGTTTAATAAATTTTTCGATAACTCAAAGAAAATTTTTTTTTCCTTTAAATTTTCTATACACTTAATGTTGAAAAAAAAAACCTTGATTTGACATTTTTTTGCTTTTCCCTTGATTTGACAATTTTTTTTACAGGTATAAAAAATATTTTTTCTCCCAAAAAATTGAAATTTTTTAAAAATAGAAGAACTATTCAAAAATTTACGAGGAAAAACCCTACATAAATTTTAAAATGAAGGGATGCAAGGATTGTAAACACACATTGGAAACTAAATTTCCATTGATCATCAAAGAGTGGTCTTAAAAACTCTTGTTAGTTTTCTTATCAGTCTTCAGGCAGTTGCAATCCATATGTATTGACCACTTACCACCCATACTTTCTATTGATATTCTATTGATATATAGGCTAACTGAATATTTAACCCTTTATTTATCAAATTGTTAAAAAATTATCAAAAATGTGCATAACTTTTTATCTCCTTAAATAATGTCTAATTTTACATTGGCAAATATTTTTTTAAATTGATCGAAATGGGAAGCTGAGAATTGAAGAATCATAATATGGAACCCACAAATGAAATATCAACTACTAAATAGTTCCATAGGTGATGTTAAAGTAATCATGTGTTGTCAACTGGTATTGATAGATAGAAAGTCACATTATAGTTCCGAAGGGATATTTTAGACTACTGCAACAAGAGATACCATGTGCATCCTCTCATTCTAGCTGTCTCGTTCTAGCTTCTTGAAAAATTCAGAAATCATCTTTAGTTTGAGATGGACAGATCTTTTGCAAGTCATTTGTTTGAAATGGCTTACAAACCAAAACTGAATACACATATTGAAGTGAAACAAATTATCAATAAGTTGGAAACGAGTTTGAAAGAGCTAGGGGTAATGTATCTTCTACCATAATTAAGGGATTTAAAAATGCTGTTTTTCTAAAAAAACCATGAAAGTGTTCCATTAATTAATAGCTGTGAACCTACAGAAAATGACTGGAATTACTCAAAGGAACTCATGCAACTTGGTGATATAAAGTTAAATGACTTTGTTGCCGTTGACAACCCTGTTGCTATATGTGGTTAGTGGGAGGATAGTGATATTGTTGCGTAAAATAAAGCTTCTTGTGATTTATTAAAAGATGTAGAAATGTTTGATTTACCAAAGAATTTTGCTAACTAAGAAGTATTATCTACTGTGTGTACTTTAAGACAATACATAGAAAGTCAGCCAAATATATCAGAGAACACATTCAAATCTCTGTTGTCTATTTAAAAAGTGTAATTGATAAAATATCATATTCTTCACCACATTGTTCTTTGATCATAGATCTTTTCTTAAATTAATTTTCTTTAATAGTTTCTGTATTAATACAAATTAGATAACTTTTTAGAAAAGTATGTAAAAAAAACTTTTTTCTTTATTTTACTCCTCATTTTTGATAACTTGAATTCTAGTTATTTAAACTTTCTATTTTCTCCTACAAGGTATCGAGGTTTAAAAGTACTTCAAAAAATATTTATTGTTAGCAGTTAAATAATGTTAAAAATATTAAGTTAAAATAGAAAATCAATATTTTTCAAGTTTTTATTTTCATAAAAAAATTAAATCTGTTGTTTATTTTGCTGCTATAAATTTTTAAAATTACAATTGAAGTATATCATGAAGTATTAAAGTTGTAATTAACATTAAATAGGTCAAGTGTTATTATTTTTCATTTGGTAGAATATAACTCTCAAAATTCAAAGGATTTCTAATTGTAGAAATTATAATTTTTTCCTGCTAAAATTAAGTTTTTTTAAAACAAATTTTAGGTTAATTTCTGTTGTACCTAAAACGTTTGCAACTGAAGTATTACCTAGTTAGCATTCTAATCAGATTAACAATTTAATTTACTTCATCTGAACAGTGCTTTATGCTTTAATAGAACATTATTTGTATTCTTGTTTTTAAATTTTTTCTGCTAACAAGTGTTTTAATCACTTGTACTCTATAGAAAATAAATTGACTGAAAGTAGTTTTTAATACTTGAGTTCATTTTCAATATTACAACCTCAAGTCGATTTATCAGAACTCAGCATGCTGACCATGGCCATTATGGAACAAAATCCAATACCTTATTTGGTAAAGCAAGATAGTTTTTGGCAACGGTAGTTCGAATTGAACATGAAAACATCTTTTTGATCAAAATTTAATTTTCTCAATCATATAACATGTCCTTTAAAGTTTAAACCCATAATTAATCTTTTTTTTTCTTTCCAATCTTCTGTATATTATTTGTATTTGATCTTGTGATCTTTCGTTTTTGTTTTAATGTAAGATAAACTCAAATTTTTGTTTTGAATCATGGGTTTGTGAATAATATGCAAAATTTAACATGGTCATAATTTGAGAAAAAGGACCATTTTTATTTAGCAAACATGCTTTTTGGATTACATTATTTTAAATAGTAATTTTGATCTAACTGTGTGTTTTTATGTTAGCATTAGTAATAAAAATTTTAAACTTGGAAAATTAGATGAGAAAACAAAACTGAACTCAAACTTATATTCCTATGTTCAATTTATACTTAAAATCAAAGAATCAGAAAATGCAAAATTTTTATTTGGAGGCAAAAAAAACAAAAACATTTGGCTTAATTTTTTCTTAGCTTTTGTATAATAAAATAAGTTTGAATTAATAAAAACAGTTTTCATAAATTTAGCTGCAAAAAAATTCTTGAACATAACTTTTTGTATATAACATTTAATAAACATTCCTGGGTCTTGATGTGAAATTTAATAAATTATATAAGAAAATGAAATTAGAAAATTTTTCTTGCAACTAAGGTTGGTTTTGGAGAACTTGAATCAGTTTCTAATCATTATGTTCTGAAGTGAAAAATACTTGCTACATTTAGTTTAAGAGTATGAACTGAAAGTAAATTTTGAGGCATTTTTTTTATAAGAGCTCTGCATATAGAAGAAAAATTTTGGCTTTGAAAACTTACAAAAGTTTTCTGTTTTGGTTGAAGCTAATTATGAGAGATCTGAAAAACTCCATTTACTTTCTTTCAGTATATTATTGACACCATAGTGTTTCAAAGGAGCTAAAATATTGCCAACTAATTATGAAGTAAATTACTTCTCACTTTCTTCTTTCTTTTGGTAAATAAATAATTAGTCATTGTTAATCGAAAGTGGTAAAATTTTGCTAATTAACTATGAAGCCGATTAGTCCAACTTTTTTTTATAAAAAAAATTTAATATATATATATAAAAAAAATTTTTTATAGTCTCATTTTTACAAATAATTTAAATCATTAATTTAAATAAAAACATAGTTTTTATCACACATAAAGAAGGGATTTGAAATTTCTTTTACTTTTAAAAAAGGTGGAAATGTAAACTTTCTTGAATCTTTGGTGTAAAATTTGATAGTTTTTACTCAATTACTTTAAAATATAAATAAAATGAATGTTTCCCTCGAGATTTGGTAATATAGAAAAATCACATTATTTAATAAATATCAGTTTTTCCATACTTTCATGATGGATAAAAAAAGCCGAAATTGCAAGATCATAAATATTGAATTACTTATCTCACCTCTTTTCAGTTTGGCTGATATTGAAACTAGATCTCAAATGTGTACTCACAACTGAATAAATATTTAAAAACTTTGACACCATTAACGCTATCACTTATCAATAATGTAGCAATTTATCTTATGGAATCAAATAAGTAACCTTACTTTCTGATTTTCTTTCAATTTAAGTTTTTTCCCATCAAAATTAAAAGTTATAAAAAAGAAACCTTAAATAGAAAATTTCATATGAATCCTTTTATTTAAATTCGAAATAGAGAAATTATCTTTTCCTTTTATGATTCTAATGTTTTTTTTCTTCCAGCAGTGCCCAGATATACCACCTCTCCAAACAGAAACGAAGAAAAGCCCCCACCTTACCCCGGAGGCGGATATTCTCCAGGGACTGGGCTCACCTACAATATGCACGACGAAAGCCTCTACTACCCCACAAAGTGAAAACTGGTTTGTGTAAGAAAAGAAATTTTGTCAATACTCAGATACTGGATTGAACCATCTAATGTTAATCTTTTTAATTATTTTTCATTTGTAGAGCTTAAAATTAAATAGATTTTAAGTAAATTTATATGAATAAATATAGTATTTGTTACTTTGATAAAATTAAAGATATTTACCCTTTTAATTTTTATTACTTTGGAGACTGGTATATACAGTTTTCTATACATAAAGAGAAAGAAAGAATAAGATTTTTATAGCATTTTATGTTTCAATCCATATTAAGATATAAAGACTGCCTTTATAAGTGTATGTGCTAGTTTGCATTTACAGCAATACCGTCTGAAGAATTGCACAATCTCTCATGGTCTGTTCTCTAAAACTGTGGTGTTCTCAAAATAAATTTGCCTTTATTAACGCATGTATATTAGTTCATCTAATCATGTTGAACAGTTATGAAGGAAATCACATTCCTTAATTTAAGGTTTCATCATTTAGTGTTTTAATTTATTATTGTTCTTCACTTGCACTATTATAGAATTTTTTTTTAGGATGAAATAAAGTTGTCGATGAGCAGGGATGCCAACTGTATAAAGCATTATAAAGTTCACAATTTTATTTTATCATTTCCTTTTATTACCTTCATTAAATTTTTCTTAATTTTCTAGAAATTATAGTTAGAAGTAATTTGGAAGTGTTAATCGAAGCAACAGTGTGTAATGTGGCACCAAAAATTACTCCTTTTATTTTTAGCTAGTGGGGTTGTAATTATAAGTATAAATAACTATTTATAGCTTTTTTTTTTCATTCTGTGTTTGATTAAATATGTTATCATATTTAATAATAAGTCTCGACTTTTCAAAATTAGAACAAAAGAATAAAATTAATTTTGGGTAATAAATAATTTGGTAATTCATTCATTTCGAACATTAAGAACATGCATTTTTACTTTTTATCACGTTGTTGATAGACTAAAGTATTTTGTTTTGTTTAAAGAACAAAAAATCTGAAGTCAGTAAGCAAATATTCAGAAAACTAAAACCATTAACATGTAGAAATTATTTCTCATTTTAACAAACAACTAGGCAAATGGCTTTGTGACATATCAGCAATTTTTATCTTCGCTAAAGATGTCAGGTCAATGGTAACCATGTTTTTCTTTTGTGCTTCAATTTAATTATAGATCAATTTCAAAATTAGCAAATAAGAATTATGCATTATAATATTTCATGTCCTAAAATAACCGTCTTACATAATGTAGATGGTTACATCTGGCAAGGTAAGCTGACTTAAAATATAAATATAGACCTAATGATGTTCCATTATACGAATTAATAAATGCTCAATCAAATTTTCGTGATTAAAGAGTTGATTATAAGGGGGGAAAAAGATCCCAAATGGAATATTTTATAAAAATTTGTAAATTTTTTATTTTTTCAATAGTAAGAAATACTTTTAAATAATGATATCGAGGCAGAATCTTGATAATTTCTTACATTTTTCTTTTATACATTTAAATATAGAATGAATGATCAGTACTTTATGATGAACAATCATATTTTGTATGGATCAGGAACTTTTATAGATTGGCATTCCTGCTTCAAATGAAATAAACTCTAATAATACCAGTCATAAAAGAGAGATGGTGCTTATCCATCTACATTTAAAGATAATTAAGACGGTTTTTACTGTAACTATTTTTATAGTTATTAATAAAATAAACTTTGACTAAAGATTGTTTAATTTTTTTTCCTCCCAGAATATTGCGGTAAACTGTGCCATATATTCATATTTTTCAAACTTTACATTATCAATAGTTAACATTTTGTAGTTCAAACTATTTTCAATTTATACAATGACACAGAATTATTGCATTTTAAAAGTTTCATATTGTTTTTTTGGAGACAAATATTTGTAATGCTTATTTGTTTTTAATGTTTGGTTCATTCCATGTGATTTTGAAAGATAGCAAGAGTTGAAGGAAAATCTAGTCATTTTATTAAATATTTTTAAATTATATTTTATTTCCTATTTTTTTAAGTTATTTTAATATTGAGAAACAGATATTGAAAATCACAGAAATGATATTAATGAACTCATCACATTATTTTAAATGTGCTTTTGCAGTATTAAACTTTGAAATGTTTTTATTTATTTTTTTACTTTATGTATTTCTTATAATTATCTGTTATTTATTTATTTACTTTATGTAATTGTTACTATTATATGTTTTTTTTTATTACTTTATATACTCATTTATTTACATTACTCGTTTATTTACTTTATGTAATTGTTACTATTACATGTTATTTATTTTTTTACTTTATATACTTTTAAATGTTATGAGTGACATAGTTTTACAAAATAATTTTAAAAAAATGAAATTAAATCTGAAATTAAATATTAATTAGAAAAATAATAAATATTAATCTTAAATTTAATCTTATAGTGGATCTGTATAGACATGCATTGAATGGTGGTTTGAGTAAACAAATACATAGAATATTCAGCTTGGTTGTGTAACTAATTTAATAATTTTTTCATTACAGAGCAAATTTGAGGTATCAAATTTTAAAATAACGTTAATCTTAACTGTGTTATAATTTAATATTTTTTGCTATAATAAAAAAGTTTACTTTTTTTAAAAATCATTTTATTTGAGGTAACTAATTGCAACAAAGGTTATTAAGTAGAATACTTGTCAAATCCCACTTTTCAGAGTTTGCTTTTATTAAACACATGTTCCATAACCCTAAGTTAGAGTGAATTTTTCTTTTTTGCTTTTTGCATTTGATGTTATCTTATAATCATTATCTTTAACTTAATCATTCTAGGTAATCTTATAAGACTCTAATTAGATTACCTAGTGCATTATACTGTTTCTTGCATTTGATGTAATCTTATAATCATAATCTTCGACCTAATCATTCTAGGCAATCTATATAACTCTTGATCAGATCACTTAGAGCATTATACTGTTTCTGTTAGCAGGCTATAGCTAAGTTTGCCTCATGTACCATATTCCATCCACCCTTGTCACTCTAGAAATTTTTAAAATTCTGTATGACGGGCATTTTTAATACTTTCTTTTTTCAGCTTTTTCTTGAAAACAAAAAGTTCTAAAAATAAGTTAAGATAAATCTTACTAACCTTTCAAGTAAAGAAATAAACTAAATTTCATTTTTTAATAGTTCAGCATCACTTTCAAATTTAACTTTTTATTTTAAATTAGTTTTCGCACATCTTTATATTTTCAACTTCATATATAAATCAAAATATTTCTAAGATTTTTTATTATATTCTGTTCCAGTGTTTAAATTACATGTTGAAGTAGTGTAATATATCTGCATACGTCAAGAAAGTTCTGTTTGTTTTCCATAACCTATCTATGATATGTAATCCTTTCTTGCAATAATTTTTTTTATTATTTTGAGGCAGTGCAAAAATTCTAAGGTTTTATATCATTGCATTTAGAATACATAAAGTTAGTAGTACTTGAAATGAATATGCCTCACTGTTAACTTCTTAATTAAGAACTGTTTAATTGAAATAATTATCTAAATAACGAACAATCAAATTTTTTTTAAAATCAAACTGAATATTCTACTATAATTGCATGCTCCTAATATCAACAGAAACTTAACATTCAGTGTATATATTGTTAGTTTATGTTTTTTTTCTTTTCACTTTTTTAACAATAATTTTTAATGGTGTAGTTAAATTTTTTTTAGAAGTATGAAAACTATTCCAAATTATTTTAAGATGCAAGTTTTTCTCTAAGGGAACACTAGTTTATTTAACTTGTGACTTGATGTCAAAAAAGAGCTGCATATTTTTATACAATTTTTAATATAAGTTAATTATAATTGAGCATTTAAGAATGCCCTATTTGAGTGGTATGCCTATCTGTTATTACATTTATAATATTTTGAAAGTTGATGAAAGTAAGGTAAAGTGCTTACATATCCTGTTTATTTTTATTTTTCAATTATAAAAACTATACTTTTTATGTGACTGAAATATTTTCTTTATATGATAAAAGCCATATCATTTACTTATTTTCTAAGAAATTTTGTAAAAATTGTTTTTATAAATAGCTTGACACATATTGTGCTATTCCTGCAATATTTATAATGATTTTCTATTTTCTTTATTAGATGATTAAGTGCTTTTTAGAAATTGAAATTATGAAAAATTCTGAGTTCTTTAAAAATATTCTTTTACTATTAATAATTATAATTCAAATTAATTTTAGTTATTGCTAAATAAATAGAAAAATTGATTAAAGTGAATTATATAATGACATTGTAATACGACTATTAATGTAATTATTACATTTCTTTGTTTTATCATTTTTGATATTCAACTGTTTTTTTCTTATCAAATTACTTTATGCAATTAGTGCATTATGAACTTGTGCAATTTTTTTTAGTTTTTTTTCCCAAACATTTTGTATAAAAGCCTTTATTTTAAACTTAATATTTCTTATCTATTTTGAAACAAAGAAAAATTTTATTTGATACAACAATTAAGATTCATGCATCACTCAAATTTTTTCTGCTGTTATTGGCTTGAGTGATCATTTTTTTGTAAATAAAATATTTCTAAAACTTATTGAAAGTGTAAATCTACAAAAGTGCAGAGTAGTAAATTTTAGGTTAAGTATCTTAAAAATATATTAAATTAGATAATCAGAAAGCAACATATAATTATAAAATGTAAATATTTGTTTTAAAGTCAATATTTTGTTGAAATTCAATTGTAGTGGTAAGCTTTATTACATACAGTATATATTTTATTACCATTCATTAAAATAAAGAGAAGTCCTAAGTTTGCTTAGTAATCACTGCTGTATCTGATAAAATATGTATCTTCAGTGGCAGTGATTTTCTAAAATTAAATGGCATTGTAGGTGTTAAAGACTTAAATTATCTCAGTATAGAAAAGTGGACTTATTCGGATCTTTGTATTACTTTATTAACTTGACTGTCACTTTCTAGTCAAAATAGTCAGTAATAAAGTTTGTGTGTTAAATTTTTTTGCAACATATTTAAAAAACATAATAGTTATTGTAACTATTTTCGAAGATTGTAAACGATATAAGGTAGTTTAGAATAACTAAATGCAATCATTTCTTTGTGTGTGAAATTCTCTGAGTTTGCATGAGAATATGACCCTAGTTAAGCTTTGTTTTGATGTATTAAATTTCATCACATTTTGAGGCATTTGTGTGTTACTAAGTAAGCTACTCTTGTAGAATGCACAAGAACTGCTTCATCTAAGTAGCCAAGATTTCTATCGACTTGGCTTCACCTAGGCATATCATTTCTTTTTTGTATTTTTTATGAGCCTTTGTATGTTTGTGTGTTGAGGCCAAATAAAGATTTCATGTGTCCACTTGTATATGTATGGTTATTTGCTCTTGTTTAGATACATAACTTCATAGCTCTTAAGATACATAACTTCATATATCAATTTAAATGTATATATTTAACACTGAAATTGCACAGCTTAATTGTTATTAAAAAGAATAATATATTTTTAAATTATAAAGAAAAAAAATATTATAGGGTTCCATGTACACCTAAAAATATCAGAAGCGATAGAAACTTAATTCATTTTTACTTATTTAGTTATTCAATCGTTATTACCACCATGCAAATATACATTGTAAGCATGTATATTTAAAGTGAAAATATTCCTTGAATTCTCTTTCAGTAGCAAACTGAAAAGTTATGCTAGAAAAAGTTCGTAATTTTTATATCTTTTAATCGATTTTTGCTTTTTATCAGTCACCACTTTTAATAGTTTTATGTGCACATGGAACCCTGCTATAACATGAGGCTGTATTTCAATAGTGGTCCAACTCTATTTTAAAATAATATTTTGTAATTCTTAATTATTTGTGCACGGGAAATCATACTTTTAAGCCAGTATGCTTAGTTCTTGTGTGAGAGGCATCAAAAATCAGGAAAGATAGGAAAAACAATAAGTTTAATGGACTTGAAAAGTCCTTCAATTTTTAAATATGATTTTCAACCCTACTAGTTTACTTTTAAAAACATATTCCTGTGTTTGGCTGAGTTTAATATGGTTCACGCAAAGCGATTTAAAGAGTGAGTTATAAATAAAAACTGAGTAAACTTTGTGAGGTTATAGTTGAAGAAATAAATTACCCAGTTTTTCGGTCGAAGGCATAATTGAAATTTGTAAAAAGGAAGATTGAATAATTGAAGGTTGTAAAGAAAACCCAACACATTAGTTTTTTTTCTTTTATTCTATATAGTCTTAGAGTAAGTCTTGTTACATTACAACATTAAATTTATCTGTATTAATTTAGCTATGTTTTAAAAGAATAATTTGAAACTGTTTGTAACAAGACTCACAGATCTGGGAAAATGGTATTTAAAATTTTTTTTAATAATTTTCCCATTTAATTTAATTGTGATTCTAAAAAATAATACAAATCTTGTTATAACATGTTTCAATTGAGTTAAGTAGTATCTCAATTTTTTTGGGCCTTAGTACATTATTTACAATTTCTAATTACACATTTTTAAAAAGGTTAATTAAAAGTTTTAAAGCCCAAATGAATATAGAAGTAAAGGAAATATTAATATCTCAATGTATAGAGTTAGTGTTTTATTCCATTATAAGCTTATTATCTAGAATTGATATATTAAATGCAATTACAAAAAAAAACCTATTTTGGTTTTCTCAGTTTTTTTTCTCCAGGTTTTGGTAAAATCATAGCAACTCTGAGTATAATGAATGTGAAAAGATTATACTAATTGAAATGTATGCTCTTTATATATGTGTTCTATACAGAAATATATTTATACACATACAGACTTAATTTAAAAGAAATGAAATATTTTAAAAATAAGTATTTTTAGAAATTAGCAAAATGGATTAAATGCCTATAAAACATATATTTCGAAATAAACTGTAAATATCAATTAACTGTTTTAAAGAGATTCTTGTAAAATCATTTTTATGTTTTATTTTTATTTCATATTTTGTAATTATGGTACAGTAGAGAACCGATTATCCGGAACGATTCCGGATAGCTGATTTTTCCGGTTTTCTGAATTGCTACAAAATGCCGTTTTTTTTAATGTTTATAAAACGAAACTAAAAAATAATTTTGAAATAGTTTTAGAAATAATAAAAAATGATTAATAATACACTTAAGTTTAAATAAGGAAAGAAATTATGAAATAAAAATTATATACAGGCTTATATATGTTATTAATGTTATTATATTAACATTAATAACATATAAGCTATTTGTGCTTATGTGAGATTCGTCTACAAACGGCTTTTGATCCGTCCTGTAAATCAGTTCTTTTGTCAACTCGATACGCCGTACACTCTTAATAACAAAATGGGCTCAAAATCTTGCAAGAAAAAAATTTTATTTAATGGAAGAAAATTAATTTACGGTTCCGAATTTCATTCCGGTTATCTGATTTCCGGATAAGAGGTTCTGCACTGTATTTTCTTTTATGCTAGTTTTATACATGAACAAAATATGAACAATTCATAATGAAACTAAAATTCCACATTTTTAAATTTTATTTAAAAAATAAAACATATAAACAAGTTTGTAAACAAAAATACTAACTCAATATTAGTGAGGCCAATCACATTTATAAGGTTTTGATGCAGGAGGCTTCAAACAATCATTAAGAATTTTACATCCAGGTGGGGACCAATGCTGAAAGGTAATATATTAATGCTTATATACAAAAAATCTTTTTCAGTTTGCTTAGTTGTTTATGTATGTTAAATTAAAATGTTTTTACATCATTCAATTCAGGACCTTATAAAATATTTCTTCTGCCAGTATGTTAGGTTTTTTATTTATTTATTCTTTTTAAAGGAAATTTCGATAAATTTTATAATTTTAGAATGCAAATAAAAACTAAGGAAAAATTGAATGCAGATTTTAAACATGGATTTTTTTTTTTAAAAAAAAGATCCCTGAATTAATTACATTTAGGGAAACCAAAAAAATAAAAGCATGAGAAAAGGCTTTCTTTGTTTTTGTGACAATTAGAGTTTTTAAAGAACAAATCAAATATCTATTAAGCATAAAGCTAAAATTTTTGTCTTTTAGTTTAATATCAACTAAGTATTAGTGTAGGAATAGAAAATGAAAGGTTTAATTTTGTAAAGGTGATGTTTAGAAGTGTAATAATTGTATAATTTTTTCATAAAACAAATTTAAGTTTTATACTTCTCAATTTTTAAAGTACACAGACAATTTCAACCTTGTAAGTGACATTTAATACTTTAAATAAGTGTTCATGTAGTCATGTTTAATTTTTTTAGGTCAGGAGTTAGGTCATTAGATTATAATTAGAACATTTTTTTTTCATTAAAATGCATTTACAAAAGATTTTTCAGCACATATTTTGATTTTATATAGATTTTTGTTGCCCCGATATATTATTAATTTTAATAAATGAAAAATTGTATGAAAATGTTAAAAATAACCTACCATTACAGCTTGATCACACATATTTAACTGTGGTGTACCCTTTATCATCGTCTTTTTATGCATTTCAACTTCTCTCATTATCTCATTCATAGCAGCCTTATATTCACTTGATTTCGGACTGAAAAGGAATATTTCAAGTGAAACATTTAGTTTTAAAATATGATGTAATCACATTTTTCTTCTTCTGAAACTTCTACGTGGTTTTTAAATTTTTTTTTTTCAAAATATCTTTAAAAGATTTAAATTGATATCAGTTTATAATATTCTATAATTTTTTTAATCTGAATTAGACTTTTGAAAAACAAATGATCGAAGTATTAAGAGTAAGCATAAAAAATGATGGAATAGTATAAAAATAATTAAAAAGACAAGTTTAAATACTTAAATATTATTTTAATAGCAACCACAAGGAGGGAAAAGGATTTTTATTTTAAAGCTGAATGAGTAAAATCAAAATTTATATAGTATAATCTAATTTTTTTGTTAATTTTATAACAAGATAATATATAATATCATTTATCAAGATAATAAATTGACAGAATAATTAGTCTATTGTATAAAGAAACTATCGTATAAATAATCAATTTTTATGTCTAACATACTGAAAGTGAACAACACAATAGCAATCTCTTTCAAACATCAGTGTCTACAATTAAAAGCATGCAGTAAAATAGTACACATACAACTCATTAAAGTTTATATTCAGTTGTGCTGTTGTACATTGAGTGTTCATGATAGGATTGTGACATATTTCGAAAAATTATCTAGAAAATTAATACTAGCTATGACGCCAAAAGGTATGCTGTTTTGATTTGCTCATTTACTCAAAATACTTGTTCGATAACAAGTATTTTGAGTAAATGAGACACTAGAATTCTTGGACAACAACTTAAATATACCAGAAAGCGATTAAAAACCTATCAGTACGATAAGAGCAAGAAATTAAACTTTTTATTGATACATAATTTGACCGAATGAGAATCTATATTCCTTTAAGTAAATTCTGATACATTTGAAAATAAATTCCGATATATTTAAATAAAGATATATTATATTGAGCTGCATATGTATGAAATATTTTCACCTAAATAGCTATTTTTTTCCCAAAACAAGATATTTGCTATGAAAAATAATTAAATACTAATTACCTTATTTGATACTTTTCACCAGGGTCTCTCCCAAGATGAAATAATATTGGTTGAGCAGTATGATTAAGCTGTTCATGACTTGTTACACCTTTTAAGTCCATGCCAGGACAGAAATCAATCCCCTGAACAATATATAAACATAAAAATGAAATACTGTGAAAACCATATTAATTTTAAATTAGTATTTTGTAACTGAGTAATTAAAGAACATGCTTTTGCTCACACTATTTTGCTACGTATAAACAAAATGTGTAATTGCTTAGGAAACCAGCAAAAATTTATAAGAAAAAAGATAAATTTTAATCATCTTGTATTACAGGAAGTTGAAATCAATCTTTGACTTTCATGAGAGAGTGTACTTATGTTCAACATTCATAGATATTGTCTTAAAATTGTGATTTATATTTATAGAGACTGACTTAAGTGCTTTTTTTTTTTAGGAAAAACTTTTTTTTCCTCACAGATTTTACCTTTATAACTATCATAGTTTTTAGTTAAAACTTATAATGTTTACAGAGAATTTTGGAATAGATCGCAACAACTATATTAACTTCAGACAGAATTTTATGAGGTATGAGTGTTTAAAGTGAATAACTTATCTGTGCAAGACGGAAGGTATGAACATTTTTTTCACTTTATGTAAATATATAACCGTATTGGGCAACTAATTAAACATTTCCTACGAATCTCACAAAAATTCAACAATATAGACAATTTTCTAAATAATATTTGTATCTTTTTTCTAGAAAGTTTCTTCCCCGTAAGTTTTTTGTTAAATTACAAAACACAAAAGTGCATAAAAACTGCATTATTTAAATAAGAGTAACGGGCAGAGAGAGGAGAAAATGTCCCCAGTCATCCAGCCAAACTTGGACATCTAATAAAACTAAGGACACAAAAATTTTAAATATATTACTATTATTTAGTTAATAAAATTAAGTTTTTTAATAGGAAAATATTCGGATCAAGGAAAAAAAAACTCTATGAACGAAATAATATAATTAAAAAACAAATTTAATTAAGAAATTTCAAGCTGGTTAAAGAGCCAAATAACACTAAGAAAATACAAATATTCTTTATGTTTAAAATAAAAAACATTATGAATATTAATTTGGTGAAAGTAATTTATTTTCACTACACTTTTATTTCCTCCTACATTTACATAAAATGTGGGATTTGATTTTTATAAATTTAATTATATAATTTTAATGACATTTTTTAAAATTATATAAGGTATTGCAGAGATTACACTCCTCATTTAAAGGGCATTTAATATCTAATCAAGATGTTTGCGCTGGGCATCTAATAAAACCAAAATAAAACCTGCACACACTGTTAAATACTCACGATAAAAGGAGCAAGCTAGATGAAGTGACACTTATTCAATTAGACATAATGACATTTAGACAAAAGTAGTTTACTGATAACATGCATTTGTTATGTTGTGATTTTGAAACTGTTTTACACAACTTAGCACTATGATAAACATTCATTGGACATAGATAACAAATTTCTCTTGTGCATTTTCTGAGCATTTTGGATACACCACTTTTCTCATTTACCTTCCTGCATTCACTTTACTATGTGTGGATTTCCCCGATTGTTTTCATAATGTAAAAAAGTTCTTCACTTAATGGTTCAATACCTTTCTGTAATACATTCCTTATAGGTTGAATGGATAACTTTGGGGTTAAGACTGAACATTTTTTACAGAAGACACTTTCTTAAGATGAACTGCCAAGACTCATCTTTTTCTTTCCACTATTTGATATACATAATTGAAGAGGAAACATTATCAAAGCTGAGGGCAGCTGAATACTATGTAAATTTTATTGATCAGCACAATACTAGTAGGAAACTGCTTTAAACATAAATTACATTTGTTGAAATATCAAAAAATTATTGAAATTTAGATTTTTCAGTTATTATTTTGTTTTGTTCAGTTACTTAAAACACTAAAGTATTATACACAGTTTTAGCTTTGAACACAGTTTGAGGATCATTTAATATTAGATATAAACAACTTCACAAGCATTTTATAAGTTTTGCAGCTTCAGATATCGGGTTTTATTTATCAACAACTTATTAATTATGTTGTATAAAAATAAATGAATGCAATTTAACTGCACAAGTCGAATTTTTAAGACATTTAGAGTTGATTTGGGTCAAGATTCGAACATATTAAAATATCATAGCAACTGATAACAGCATTAGTATATTTTATTTTATAGGCTTTCTTTGAAAGATGAAACAAGTGCATGAGATTAGGTATGGATCCAGACTATTTGTAGTTCAATATGAAAATAATGTTTTCTTCTCCAGTAAAAAGTGGGATAAATATATACTCATATTTTTATAATTCTGTATCTCAATACTCTTTGTCTTTTGTCATTTCTAGATCCTCTCTTGTCTAAGCTTTAAAAATATGTTTTAATTTTAAAAGGAACAATTTAGGCATTTATACCTGTTTGAATTCTTCATAAGAGTTAGTCCAACACCAAAAGTGGCTTTTGTATAAACCATACCTTACAGCCATTAATTCATTTCCTCGATAATAAAAGATTGGTCTAAAAACAAAGCTTGTTTTAAAATCAAATATTACCTACGCATTATCAATTAATCGGCATTAAACTGAATCAAATAATAGAGAAATATTCCTTTAAACAGATTAAAATATTTTAATACAAGTGTTTTTAACGATACCAATGATTGCATTAGTCTAATGTTTGATAAAAAGATTTGAACAAGGGCCTTTAAGTATTATAACTTCTTGATATTTTAAAAACTGAAAGGTCATAATGTATGTTTCTTTCAGTATCTAGCTATATAACACTCTATATTGCTATACAACATTTGCTCATATAAACTGTATTTGTTATTTTATTATAAGAGAGCTTCACATTGCTTTGCACAGGCGATCTTTAGTGACTGCTTTACACAGCAGTGTGGTTTGAACATCACTTTTATAATAACTACTAACTGACATAAAATTATTTTTAATGTAAAACTGTTTGTTTTAATTGTATATTAAGTTTAACATCTAGGCATAATTGAAGCTCATTTTACGCATGTTCTAACCAAGTGTAGTAAAAAAAAATGTGGGAATTTTTTAAAAAGTATTATATTTTAGTATAAGCCGACCGGTCTGTGTAGGGGGCAGGGAACTGCCCTTGCATCAGAAAGGTTCTGGGTCGGAATTCCGGGCAAGGCATGGATGTTCTTTCCTTCTCTGTGCTATCTGTCCTTACTGTGGGAGCGACGTTGGCCCACATAATATGGTGCCTCTGTAAGAGAGGTCAACAAAATCGCCCTGTATATGCCTGAATTGACAGATGTTAACACAGGTGGGCATTGGAAAAAAAAGAAGAAAAAAAAAACATCTAGGTATGACCCATTTTACTTTACCACCCACAAAATGTTTTAAACTGTTAAATATTGTTAAATGAGATTTTATAAAATAATAATTTCACAGCTATCATAAAAAAAAGACTGTTAAATTATTTGACAAATTTATTGAATGTATTGAATTCTGAATAATTAATTTTTTCTGTAGGTGAATTACATGTTGTTTTTTTTTACTTAAAAAAGTAAATTTGCACACAAAGGTTTGTTAAAAAAAGTAAATATGAATTTAATTTAATCTCCAATTAAATGATACAATTGTTACTTTTTATTAATTAGTAATGTGGCTAGGACGCCTAAATTTCTAAATCAGGTCTTACTAAATATTAATAAACAATAAACTTAAATTTTTAAAAAATAAAGAAAGAAACTATATTGACTACCTAATTTCGTTAATTATTTAGAGAGCTAAAGTTTAGTAATGACTTTAAAACTATGCATTAGTGAAAAATGCCAAAAGTAATTATATCGAAAAACTTTTTTAAAAATGAAATGTTTGAAATTAAAATGATTTACATTGCAAATCTTTTAAACTTTTTTAACAATTCTTACAAGTTCCCACTGAATATAGTTATACCTTTCTTTGTTTTTGTCTTGAGCCAAAGCTGGCATCAAATCGATTCCATCAACCACTCTATCTTTAGGAATGTCTAACGATGCTATTTTCAAAGATGTTGTAAAAAGATCCATAACTGTACTTGCCTGATGAGATACCTATTGATGTTAAAATTAAACTAAAGTATACACACAAAAAATGAAAAAAATAAAGACAGAAGACCTATTTTTGGTTTAAAGATAAGATTTTCACATATTAACATGTAATTTTGATAATTCGAGAGGCTGACTTCAATTATGTCAATAATCAGTACAGACAATAAAGTTATGAAAACAGACAAAAAATTTATTTGAAGGTTAAATTTTGTACTTTATGATAAAGAGTATTTACAAAGAGTATTGACAAAAAGTATTATGACATAGAGATAAATAAAGGGAATGTCAATTCTACATTCTGTACATATTTTTAAAAATTATTATGAATATTTGCTAAAAACATTTTTTAAAAAGCCAAATAATTTTTTTTTGCAAAAATGTAAAATAAATAAAAGAATAAAAAACTAATAAAAGCTAAGGTTACTCTAAAATGAAACTTTTTTTATACTAAAGGATTTAAGTTCTATAAAAGATAGAAATTATATAAATTTTACATTTTGTTAGTGATTCTACAAATATATTAAAAAAATTTTTTTAAATAGAAGACAAATAAAAATGTTTGCTCTACTTTATAATAAATAAAAGAATGAACAAATAAAAAAGCCTTGTAACCTAAAAAAATTGTGTTAACAGAAAAAATTCCATTTTGTATTATTTTGATAAAATAAAGGAAATTTGTGTAATTTGAACATAAACTTTATTGAATGAATTTTTACAAGAAATATTTTTCACCAGATAAGTTATCTTTCATAATCATCTCATTTATTAGGTGCCAAAAAAAAAATTTTGTAATAAGTTGCTCAAAAAACTGTATTTCTATGGTAATTATTATTATACTAGTATCTTTTAAATCAATTATAATTTTTTCAAAATTTAATACAGTTACCACAATGATAAAAAAAATGATAAATACAAAATAGTTTAACTTTGTGTGCTATAGCCCCTGATACTATTCTGTTCATAAATTTTTCATATTCATATTTGAAAGTCAATTTATACAATAAATTTTTTAAATTTATCATTTTATGAATTCATTTTATACAAAAGCTTCTAAATACTGGGGCAAAGTTTTACTGACTAAATAAAAAAGCAATTTTTTTTTGTCATTTTTAAGTATTCTTACGTGTATAAGGTTGTGCATAATTTATAATGATTCGTTGATAACTCAAGAGGGTTTCAAATCTAAACATTTTGTAAAAATTATATATATTTTTTTTACTTGTGCTAAATATCTTTTTTTATAGAGCAATGCATTGTTTTCATGCTAAAAATAATTTACTTGTTTTTAAACTTACAAAATTTTCTATTATTTTATAACAAATTTTAATAGTTCTTTGACTGATTTAAGTCTTTTTAAACCAGAAATCACAACTTTTTAGCATCACTTGATACAATTTGAAGCTAGGACATTTCAGACAAATTTCTCCTCTAACAATGAAAATTAGTTTATGATATTGTACGCTATAATAACTGAGAGGTGTATATTAGAAAATAAAGATAAATTCGATGTAATAGTTATTGATATAGAAGTTCTTTTCTTTATGGATTAATAGAAAGCTTTTCTATATGGCTTACCTGACCAGCTGGAATTGTACCAGGCCACCAAGCAATGGCTGGTTCTCTCATCCCTCCTTCAAATGTTGTTTGCTTTCCACATAAAAATGGACCATTACTACCAGCTAAATAATTTAATAAATACTTAGAATTAACAAGGAGTATTACAAAATAAAATAGAAAATGCTGTTTTAGAGTAGGTTGTTAAGTATGAGATAATATTTTATTAACACTACAGAGGTTAAAAAAATGTGCTTTGTCTTGATACACATATGTATTATTATATATTATTTTAATTATGTAATAAATCTGCAAATGTAACTTTCACACAAATTTTAGTAAACATCCTTACATAGAAAATCTGAATACCAGGTACCCGTGATGCTTAGAAAATAAAAATTGAGCAGGAGCATTAAAAAACTTTATTTTAAGTATACTTCTGATATAAAGTAAATATTTTAGGAAAATTTAAAAAAATTTTCTATTTACTCTAATATTAAGATGCAATTTTTATGCTGAAATGTCGAAGTTTTGTTACGTATCTGAAGGTAAAAACATTATGAAACATTAATTAAAAAGAGGGTACAATCTATAAATACTTTGTCTTAAGCTGCAACAACAGTTCTATTATGATAATCTATTAAGAAGGAAGGGAGGAGATATTTTTGTATTTTTTTTAAAAAAAAGAAAAACACAAAATCTGTAAATGCTATTTTTCCTTTGAAAAACTTTTTAAAAGTATCAAATTATTCCAAGCTGTTTTAAATTTTTAAAATTATTTTGTGCCACAATTTGTTTGGCTTAAATCTACGCAAATGATTGATTAATATTTTTAGAAAAGCTTAATTTAGCAGTTTGATGAAACGATAAACTCTTTTTGCAAAAAAAAGTTTGGAATTATGAGTTATTGATCAGCAATAAAGCAAAAGGAAAAATAAAATACGGGATTCATAAGTAATTTAGTTATTTCTAACATGGAAGGTTACATGATAATGATGACAAAATATGTCTGATTTGTGTAAAAATGACTTTTTGTTATTAATAACTAAATCACAGCATAAATTATAAGTTTTATTTTATTTTATAACCGGCATTGAATAGCTTCGAGACGAGGGGATTCTAACCACGGATCGACCTACCACTGAGGATATTTTACAACAGCACTATAGTGTGACCTCTGATGGGTATACAAATCGACCAGTTATTTCTGAGATTCAAACTAAGCCCTCTTTCAGTCTATTGTGGCTCTGAATTATAAGTTTAAAATACCCTATAGAATGTATGCCATAGTAATAATTAACGAAAGAGCATACATTTTACCTACCCATTACTTGACTGACTAAAGCTGCTCCATTATCAGAAGTAAAAAAGACAAATGTATTGTTCTCAATTTTAAGATTGCGGACAGTTTCCAAAATTTGACCAACTCCATGATCCAATTCTTGCACTGCATCTCCATATCTTTAAAGACATACATGCATTAAAATTTATAAAACCAGGGGGAAAAGGGTTATTATTTTGTTTGTATCAAAAAATGAGCTATAAATTAATACTTAAGGAATAGAAAAGGCACAATTTAAATGGTATAAAAATAAAAGTAAAAAAAAAGTTGAATGAAATATAATTTTTATTTTATTTCATAGAAGTTCAGTGTTTGCATTTCTCTAAAAAGAAAAAGAAAAAAAAATGGAGAAATAAAAATTCATCACAATAAAAGGTATAATAGCATGAAAAACACTTATCTTTCAACAATTTAATGAATTTGAAAATAAGAGTAAATGTTAAAGCATTCCATTAATTACTGAAATTCTGTTATTTATTATCAATTGTAAAGTAAATAAATATAATTTATTGCAACTAATAATTATAAGTAACATAAATTTAATTTATACATTGGTAGCTAAAATGGAAATTAGATAAATATATAAGTAGCTAAAAAGATAAAAAAATTTTTTGGCATCAGTATTGTTAGATTCTATCAAAGAATAGGAATAAAAAATCAAAAAAAAATTTTTTTTTATCACTTATTGCTAAAAATTCATTACTGAAAAAAATTCTTTTATGGAGAAAATCTGTTTCAAATAAGTCATCTGTTTTCAAAATATAAAGTATTTCTTCACAATTAAATTGATTTTTTTCTTAAAAAAAAGAACAAGTAACATAAACTCACACTCCTCTTCTACTCTTTCCTAAGAACTCTTTAGAAGCATAGCAGGGAGCATGAGTTGAATCTGGGGTCCAATATAAAAAGAATGGTTTCGAGGATGTACCAGCTTTCTTAATGAAATTTACTGCTTCCTAATATGAAACAATATAAATTTTTTAAAAACTAAACTATACTCTTTTCAATAATGCTTCAAGTATCACAATTAGGAAAAATGTGTATTTAAAATTTTTTTTAAGCTTTATGACTACAATAATGATAAGTTCAAAATAGAAAACTTTAAAAACATCTTTTTTAAAAAAAATTCACAAAAAATTACAAAAACTATATTGCATACACTTAAATATATTTGGTATTAGGTATATCCAATATATTTGTATTTTTACTTAAGAGAAGCTAATCTACTATTTTTTTTATTAAAAGTAATACATAATTTCTAGTCAATCTCTTTACAATCTACACATTTTTAGAAAATAACAAAAATGCAGGTAGTTATAAATGGAAAACAAAGTACAGGAATACATAAGATGCTGTAAAATACTGTTTTAAATAAAAGGTAAAGAAAAGTAGAGCCCTTTTTTTTGTTTATAAGTACTTTTAAAATTTTTTACACAATTTTGTATGATTTTTTTTTTTAATTTGGTTGATTACTATACATCAAATAATTTTATTTATATAATTATTGAGTAAGGACGGTGCCTTCTTTTAATTTTAAATAATGTTATTCAAGATTTCAAATATATTTATCCAAAGTTTTATTATAACAATTTTCTAATTGATTCAAAAAAATTTTTTTGTTGTAATTCTTGCAAATTTCAATTAAAAATTCTAAAAGTGTTTCAGCGAAAAGCATGTGAGAGCAAAAATAGAGTTTTTAAAAAATTGTATCATCAAAAAATTATATCGTAAATCTATACATTTTCATGATAACCCATGGATACAAGCAAAACAAATCTACTACACAAAATGGATCTATAACAGAATTGCATTGAATAATCAATGTAAAAACATTACTTGAATAAGTATCCTAGTGAAATTCGATTCTCCAGTCCCTTTATTAATTTTAAAGTCCTGATAGTACCTGAAAAAAAAGTTAAATTAGGTCATAAGATTTTTTATTTAGTTCAGATTCACATCAACAATTATTCAAAATTATTATTTAGTAAAACACTCTTCCAACAACTAGATGTTGACCAAAGGGGTCAGAAAAATTAACCATTTCACAATTTCAAAACCAACAACATGATGGTGGCAATGTGGTCAGCTGCCTACACTTTTTAGACAAGTTGTTACCATCAAACTGAAGAAGGATAAATTTAGAACCTTCACCAGGAATAGAACCCAGATCTTACACAATGACTACTCAGTGTTTCAACCCCTATACTATTACAATTTAATTTTTATCTTAGTTACAATATAATAGCCATAAGTCACAAAATAAATTTTTAATAATTAGCAATATATAAAAAATTTTCAGATAATATATTTTTATGCAATTTAAGAAACAAATTTCCCATTTATAAAAAATATATATAGCTTACCTTCCGACCATTGAATTATTTTCAAATACTGGTATATTCGGAGTATTTTTACCATAAGGTCCAAAATGGCAATTAGCTGAACCAAACCATTCATGAAATCCATGTTGAAGCGGCAAGTATTTTAATTGATGACCCAAGTGCCTAAATAGAGATAACAATTTTTGTAAGCATCGTCATAATGCTATGCTATGTTAAGCAAAATTAGTGTTTTTTAAGACAAAATAGTAAGTATAGAGATGCCGATCTGGAAGTTTCAGATTTCCAGAACAGTGGTAGTAAAATAAAAAATTAGTTAACTGTTGTTTTTAAAATTTTCCATCACATAAAAAGGCTATAGCTTGTTATTCAGTCCTTTTATATATAAATTTGAATTAGTGATCAAATTGAATTATAAGACATATATTCTGAACTGCCTTAAATAATTGCAAAAAATATCCAAATAAAATCCAGAGAAGTTGGCAAATCTGCATGTATATTAACAAAGTTTTTTAAACCACCTGAATAAATTAAAAGTTTTAAATTATTTTCATTTGATTTAACGATTTTTTTTCATAATAGAAGTTTTGTATTAAGTCTACATATTTTTACATCCCAATAAATTTATTGAAAACAATACTTACAGTTAATTTTTTTTTAAATAACTGCAATATTTATGATTTATCATTAATTACATGAAAATAAATACTAGATTATAAAAGCCTGTCATATGACATAAAAATGTACGAAAGAAATAAGGACAGATGTGCATAAATTTTATATTCAATAAGAAGATTAAAATTCATAAAATATGACTTTAATTAAACATTTTAGCTCGATGAATATATAGTATTTGATTGGAGCCTGGTTGATAAGGGGATGGAGTCGATTTCGTACAAACAGGAGTTCGAATCCAGCCGGCCAAAGAATCCCTGTGTATTGAATGTAAACTGGTGCACGTTAAATATGTTATGGTCACAAAGTCTTCAAATTCCCATAGCAAATCAATATCTCTAAGGGTACTGAGCCAGGAGCTCCCTTACTTCTGGATTGAGTTCAAAATTACAAGACTATGGAGTTGAACATTGGTAATCATAAACTAAAATTTGGGTTGGCTGTTCAATGACAGTTATAAAATAAAATAAAATAGCATTTGATTATAAAAGTATCTAACAATTATACAAAAACATATCAACTGTAAATATATTAAATGAAAATAACAAAGCAACTTACATATTTTATTATTACAATAAGTATAAACATTTGATTATAACAGTGGATATAAATATTTGATTATAAAAATCCATAATAAAATATATACAAATAAGAGCTAACAAGGCAAGATAAGATGAATTAAAAACAATAAATAAATAAAAACTCATAAAATGTGCTGATTCTTTATTAAAAAAATCAATTTTATAACTTTGATTATTAAATCCTCAAATAAAAATATAAAAATTTGCAAAAAATTCAAATAACACAATTGCTATATCTTTTTATCAATAACATTAAATCCAACCATTTAACTTTAAAAACTTGTCATAAAAATAGATTAAAAGAAATAAGGACAAATATAATATGATGCAATTTTGCAATTTGAAAAGTAAATTGACATAAATATGCAAAACAAAATGCTAACAAACATAGTATGGTTAGATAAATTGATAAAATGTCATACATTATGCTAAATTTGTGAAAAAATATTTTAGATTTATAACTACATACTTGATGATAATAACTTCTTATACAACTAAAAATATTTTAAACAAATAAAGATAAATATAGAAAACAGGGCAAAATACTTTTACCTAAAATTTTATTCTTAAATGATTTTTGTTTCTAAAAATTTAAAAAAAATTCTTGTTTTATTTAACAATTATTCTTAAAAAAACATCTATGTTTCTGTGGATTGCTTACGCACAACTCGCAGAAGTTAAAAGGCTTTCTAGCATAAAATATATGGGATGCATTGAATTTATATTAAAAGCTGTAGTTATTTCTTAAAAACATCTTTCAGTGATATTATTAAAGTAAAGTGAGTTTAATATTATAAAAGTAAAATAGCAGTAAAAATGATATCAAAATTAAAAAAATAATCATAAATATTAGAAGCTATCTGTAGTAGTTAATATTATAAAATTACCATTTCCCAACAATTTTATTGTAATATCCAGATTTCTTTAACAGTTCTGGAAGCAATATTTCTGAAGTGATACCACCCATTATTTCTTGTGGAGTGTAAGCTATAAAACAATAAATACAATAACAATAAATTAAATAATAATTGTTTCAAATGAAAATGGTAACTAATTTTAAAAAACTAGAACTTTCTTAGATGCATCTTTTCTTATAAAAAACTAATTTCAAGAAAGAAAAATATATATAGACAAAAATATCATTGGTTATATAAGTATAATACATTTAAACATTTTATTCACTGACAAAAAATATCACTAAAATAATGAATATAAATGTAAAGTTTTTCAATCACATGCAAAGGAAAGATAACTCAATTCTCATTAATGCATTGTTAATCCATAAAAAGTAGACAGAATACACTGAAGAACAATTTTTGTTTGTTTTCTGTTGCTTGGAATTTTTTTAACAAATCCAAAATATTTTCACATTGTTGATTTTAAGTCTGCAAGCAGTTTCTCTTCACAAGCTACAGTTTTTATGCAATTTAATAATATAGTCCAAACTAAATTTTTTTTAAAAATTCATTTGTGTTTAAAAAACAACAACCTAGTTTTACTATATTATTAAATGGCATAAAAACTGTAGATTGTGAGAAACTGTTTGCAGAATTAAAGTCAGCAATGTGAAAATATCTAAGATTTGTTTAAAAAAATCTCAAGCATCAGGAAACATATATTTTTTTTTAATTCACTCGTGCAAGGTCGGAATAGCCAGGTTGGTAGGGCACAAGGCCCATGTCCAAAAGGTCGTGGGTTCGATCCCCATCAGATGAAGACTCCTCGAGTAGTAAATAGTGACTGATGTATGTTAAATCTGTTTAATCACAAAGTCCTCCATGTTCCCGTAACAAATCATTCCTATGGGGATCCAGGAGTTTCCTTGTCTTCTGGATTGGTTCAAAATTACAAGGCTACGGAGTTGAACATTAGTAGTCATAAACCCAAAATTGGGGTGGCTGTTCAACGCCGCTTATACATATATATAAAATTAAAAAAATCACTTGTGTGACTAATAAGTATTCCCACTTTTATGATATTACATAGGGCATGGTTTGAAGAAGGCAGTAATACATTTCAGTTTATGAAACAATAAGTTAAGATCATATATTTTTGTTTTTAGTGTTATTTTCAAAGGAGCAGAAAAACGTGTGTATATATATATATATATGTAATATCTAAAATACTAGCTTAATAAAATTAAAAGGATCTTTTGAGACTAAACTCAAAAATAATTATATCTATCTGCAAATAAGCTTATCTGGTTTCAGAGAACATTAAATTTCTCTTTCACGTGCTTAACTTAGCCCTTCGCGTTCGCGTATATAGTAAGTTCCGTTGAATAACGATGAAATCTTTATTTATAAAATGAATCCACACCGCGCGATAAAAAATCGTAACGAAACCAAATTCCCATTAAAATCAAGACTATGTTGAGATATTAGTTCATCTCCATCTGGTCTTAAGATCTTCCAGACGCCAGTTCTAACATCTGGGGTTATATAGATCACATGACATGAACATATGTTATGTTAAAGAAGGGTACACTTATATTTTAGAAATGGAAGGATAAAGATGCATCTCGGAGCTTTGCTCCAATTGTATATAAATTGTAAATAGATTCCTTATTCTTTATTCAATAAAAGTATAGTTATCATCCTTATGTTATCATCCTTATAGAAAAGGATATTAAAAATATTAAAATATGATTGCAAATTCTACGAAATGCAATATAATGATTAATGAAAAGCNATGGTTAAAAAAAACATCTCTTTCGGTGGATTGTTTACACACTACTCACAGAAGTTAAAAGGCTTTCTAGCATAAAATATATTGGATGCATTTAATTTATAATAAAATCTTTAGTTATTTTTTAAAAACATCTTTCAGTAATATTAGTGATAAAGCAAAGTGAGTTTAATATTATAAAAGTAAAATAGAAGTAAAAATGAAATTAAAATAAAAAAATATTTATAAATATTAGAAGCTGTCTGTAGTAGTTAAAATTATAAAATTACCATTTCCCAACAATTTTATTGTAATATCCAGATTTCTTTAACAGTTCTGGAAGCAATATTTCTGAAGTGATACCACCCATTATTTCTTGTGGAGTGTAAGCTATAAAATAATAAAGTGTTACAAATAAATTAAATAATAATTGCTTCAAATGAAAAATAAAAATATATATAGACAAAAATATCATTGATTATAAAAGTATAATACATTTGAACATTTTACTTACTGATATAAAATATCACTAAAATAATGAATATAAATGTAAAGTTTTTCAATCACATGCGAGAAAACACAACTGAATTCATATTAATGCATTGTTAGTTCATAAAAAGTAGACAGAATACACTGAAGAACAATTTTTGTTTGTTTTCTGTTGCATGAGATTTTTTGAACAAATCTAATATATTTTCACATTGTTGATTTTAAATCTGCAATCAGTTTCTCTTCACAAGCTACAGTTTTTATGCAATTTAATAATATAGTCTGAACTAAATTTTTTTAAAAAATTAATTTGTGTTTAAAAAAGCAACAACCTAGTTTTACTATATTATTAAATTGTATAAAAACTAATGTAGCTTGTGAGAAACTGTTTGCAGAATTAAAGTCAGCAATGTGAAAATATCTAAGATTTGTTAAAAAAAATCTCAAGCATCAGGAAACATACATATATTTTTAATTCACTCGTGCAAGGCCGGAATAGCCAGGTTGGTAGGGCACAAGGCCCATATCCAAAAGGCCGTGGGTTCGATCCCCACCAGCTGAAGACTTCTTGAGTAGTAAATGGTGATTGATGTACGTTAAATCTGTTTAGTCACAAAGTCCTCCATGTTCCCGTAACAAATGATACCTATGGGGATCCAGGAGTTTCCTTGTCTTCTGGACTGGTTCAAAATTACAAGACTACGGAGTTGAACATTAGTAGTCGTAAACCCAAAATTGGGGCGGCTGTTCAACGCCGGTTTTATATATATATATATAAAAAAAAAAATCACTTGTGTGACTACTAAGTGTCTCCACTTTTATGATATTATATAGGGCATGGTTTGAGGAAGGCGATAATACGTTTCAGTTTATAAAGCAATAAGTTAAGATCATATGTTTTTTGTTTGATTTTAGTGTTATTTTCAAAGATGCAGAAAAATGTATACAAATATATATATAGATAAAGAGACGTTCTTTATTAAGTTATACATCCAGGAAAGAATAAAATAAACAAAAAATACCATTTTGAAAAAAAAAAAACCTGTAGCTTTCAAAACAATCGGCAGCTTTTCTAACAAAATTTGAGGCTTGAAATCGCCACATCCAAATTAGGCAAGATCAAGAACTTGAATAAATGCAATAAAAATATGCTCCCCAATGTATTAATCTGAAAATAAAGAAAAAAATAAACAAATAAGAGCAATTAATAATTTTTATTTACCATTTCTAGCATGAGCATTGTCTGTGTAGAATCCATTTCTTATAGGAAGTCTCCCTGTTAGCAAAGCTGCACGGGCTTTAATAAAAAGAAAGAAAATAAGTGATTACAGCATTTTCTTTAAGTATGTTCTGACAGATCATAAAACTGTATCTTACATGGAGAGCATAGTGGATTAGCTGTGTAAAAGTCAGTCAACACAGTACCTTCAAGAGCCATTTGATCTAAGTTTGGAGTCTCTTTACTTGGTTCTCCAAAAACTCCAAGATCACCCCATCCCATCTAAAAAGTATCAATATTAGTAGTATTAGTTACAGAAAAATATTTAAAAAAATGTAATTATTAAAAAAAAAAAAAGAACTATTCACGTGTTTCAATTTTGTGTAAAAGTGATGCCAAGATTTCCCCAATAAGAGAGCATAGCTCCTGCCTTGAACTCAAGGCAAAACTGCTAATTTTGACAATGAAAAGAATGTTTAAACCTGACAATTTATGAATATATTTCTTTCTGTGAAATAGTGATGAACTGCACCATTAATGTTATTGAGATTATTTAAAAAAATTAAAAAGTGGTGCTAAAATTTAGAAATTTATATCATTTTCTGCGGCAAATGAAAAAAACAAACAAAATAAGCTTGACCAGTTCAAAATATATGTTGAGGAAAACAACCATTTAAGGTTTTAAATTCTCTCTATCATGCTAATGAACTATCAATATAGTGATATTTAAAATGAGAAATTATCTATACACTCAATTAAAATATTTCACAAATAGGCCCTCTTATATAAAAATAAAGAGATTTAAATTGCATAAAAAACATTAATATTAGAAAAAGTATCATTCAATAATTAAATGCTATGTCCTAGAAAATTACAAGCATTCCATTATAGATATGAGAATTAATGGATAACCTGAGACAGAGGCTTTAAAAAAAGTTTTATTACATTAGTAAAAATAACACCAGTAATTAAATAACTAAATACAAACTGCAGAATAAAATCCTCATTTAAAAATATTGTTTGTATTTTAGACTAGATTTCATTCGGACATTTTATTTGGTATGAACTAAACTTTCACCAATACTCACTTTTAAAAATGTCCTGAAGTATATAACAACTTTCAAATTAAAAAAGTTTTTCTCCTAATTTTTTTTTAAATAAATAAAGAGAATAAAATAAATAAATTTAGAAAAAAAAATATGGTTGAATACTACATAAGAGCATTTTAAATATCTTAGATTTAAATGTCTTATCATATCAAATATGTACACTTAAGAAAATATTTCTGATTGAGATTGCTCTCTTATTAAGAACTTTATTTTAATGTTTTTTCATGTTACAACTTATTTATTTTATCTTCAGAAACTATTTTCATTATACTACAAAAAAATTAAGTTTATAAACTCTTAATCTCAAAAATTGTTAAACATAATTAAATAAAAAAATAACATTAGTTTAATTTTTATACAAAATCAAGTGATACATTAACTTTATTTTTAAAATAAATATAATGTAACAACCTTTTAGAGATAATAATTTTTCACTTTCCAACCAGGCATCAAAAATTTTTTTCTCCTTTTCCCCCTTTTTGAGTTAACTAAATATAACTTACAATTCAAATTACAATAAAATCTGCATAAATTTAATAAAGTTATAAATAAAGTATTGGGTGAAAATTAAGCTGTATCAAAACAACACAAATATTTCAATTTAACACAGTTGCTAAACAATAAAGTTACACAAATTATTTACTACTTAATTACAGTTAATCACAGAGAAAAGGGAGAAAAAATGAACATTTGTAAACAATATATTATTTTCAAGTTTGATCAGCAATAAAATATTTTCAAAATTTATGTAATTGTATTTGTTTAAAATAACGTTAACAATCCACGTTTGTTAACAAAATTCAAATAAAGCTTTGAAACAAAATATTAAAAAATAAGTAAATGAAGTAAGAATATTTTTCGACAAAGCTTGGAGTATAATCTAATAGAAGAGAACTGGCCCTAATCTGGTGTTATAGATTATAAAATAAAATATACTTACATCATCCATTAGCATTATTATAATATTAGGAAGTTTACATTCAGTGAAACTAACGAAAGTCAAAATTGCTAATATTGAAATCACAAGTTTCATTTTCATAATTTTTTAAATAGCATTTAAGAAAAATAACAAATAAAATAATTTTTATAATTTTCTTGTGCAGCAAACAATATAGCATGAAACTGGAATATTTCTCATAATGAAATCATTAATTTTGATAAAAGAAATTTGACATAGATTCTATTCACATGATGCTTTTATCTTGCTTTCTGGATTTTTATTTATATGCAAACTTTTGTAATATCTGACTCAAGCTTTTCTTTCGCCTCACATTTTACGCTTAAACCAAACTAAACTCAAGTTGATACTTATTTCAGATTTCTACGATGCATTCTCATTGCCTATAACTTTTTCGCGTGCGTTCTTTTTCCTAACATGTCTCACTCGATTGAGTTCAAAAGGGATGCCCAGAGATGTGTGAATTGGATGCAGCAAGAATGATCTCTAAGTTTGCCATCTTGTGGTGAGTTGTAAAAACTATTAGAGAGGTCTAAGAGAAAGGTATTGAGAAGTTTTTAGTTTTATTTTATCTGTTGATACTATAAAACGATGCGAAATTCCTAAAACAATTTTTTTTGTAAAAATTAATGATTATGTATTCTAGTTTCTGCAACATTTTTCGCTTTAAATTTGCTTTAAAAGCATAGTAAACAAAATAATCACATAAATTGATTTCATTACCAAGCTTTCTTTATTATTTTTATCTTGGAATTTTTGATTCGCACTTTCTCGATGTTTTATTGTACATAACTAACTTTTGCTGATAGAGTGTTATTTAACAGTAGTATACTATTTAAAAAAATATTGAAAATAAAGGGCTACTTTATTAAATTAGGAGAAGTAGTGATTAACATATCTTTTGGCACTTCCATAGATTCTCCCTCAAAAATGCAAAGCAATAAAATTATGTGATTTGTGCTTTTGAGATAATACTATAAAACCCTGAAAACCGCTTTGAATGATGCTAAAAATTGACCTAATTAAGAAGAGAAAAAAACAAAGATATTTTTCAAAAATTTAAAAACATGCAAACGTTTAATTTTGAGCTTATCTTTCAAAAAATGATGATTGCAGAATTATATTGTCACCACTTTATACAAAAAGAACATAATAGAAAAAAAAAGAATAGAGAATCTAAAATACCGTGCATCTTGCATCTCAAATTCTGATTTGATGATGTCCTTGTATTTTGTATACTTCAATAGGTACTGTCGAATAAATTATGCCTCAATCATCCACAAATAAAGATTTGTGAGAATCAAATTAAAACGATTAAAAGCATATATAGAATTTCCTCACTCCATCTCAACCCCTTCGATTGTTGAGTTCAGTCAATTTAGGAAAAAGGTCTCACAAGCTTAATCAATTTACTTTAGTTCATGAATTATTTTGATACGCCCGTTGACTGAGTGGTAGCCCCTCGCATCTCCATGCCACAGGTCTTGGATTCCATTCACAGACCGGGCAATGTTGACTCAGCCTTTTACTCGCCTTCAGTGGGTCCATGAAACGAGTACCAAGCATGCTTAAAGACTAAACACTGGAAGATCCACTGTAGGTTGACCACTCAATCGGAAAATCTCCTGCACCTCAGAGCCCAAGGTCAAGGAAACTGGGATGGGCTCAGTAGGTCTTGTCCCCTTATGGAGTGTCGCGTCACTGAGTTTAGTTTAGTATGAATTATTTTAAACAAATAAGATAAATCAATTAAATAAGTAACAGCATAAATTTTAAAATCTAAGGTTAATCATATCACATTGTTTTAATATTGCTTTTCCCTGTTTTTAGATTAATGAGTCTTGAAAAGAATAAAGGTGTCGTAACTTTTATGCAATCTTTGGATTCTCTCTCTCTTAGAAAATCATTTATTGACATTATCAGACAATGCTTCTTTTAAAATGATGTTGTACTGTAAATGTTTTGATTTTGTTGAGGCAACCACTACTAAGACTTAAATTTAATTCAAAATATTATTTATATTAAGTGCAATTGTTAATACATCATATTTAAATTAGTATATGAAATGATGAAAAATAAATGTTGTAAAAACTTATTAAACGTATACTAAACTGCTTTCCAAACTTTAAAAAAAGCTGAATCAGTTATTCTGAATACATGCTTTTAAAAATTTAAATCCTATTTTAATAGATATTTCTTTATTTTTTGCCTAATTTATTTATAATTGAATAGAATTATTTACAACACAAACAAATTAGTTATTTTGTGTCCGTACATTTATATTATGTGTAATATTAGGTTTATATACTATACATTTGTGATCCTTTCATGAAGCATGATATTTTTTCTTTTTTTTTTCCATAACTTTATACTAAATTTTTAATGTAACTCAAAGTTGTTGAAAAACAAATTAATAATTTTTGAGATTTGTAACTACAAGAAGTTATGTTTAGAATGTCTAAAACACCAAGCGTTTAGCTTTTGGGTTGCTGGTATTCCAATTCCGTCACTAAAATTACCGAAAAACCTAACCTAATAAATGTTCCTTAACAGGGGGGAAAATAGCTTGTCACGAGATACAACGTCTCTGCCATATAAACCGGTGGAACATAGAACACGAAAAAAAAAATTTGTTTTGAAATTTTTTTTTACATCAGAGATTAATTATATGGTTGTGCAGTTTCGTATTTTTATCCATAAATATTCATATTAACTGTACTCGTCAATGTGATCTTAGCTTATTTATGAAACTTCCATGCTTTCATGATGCCTTCTCCAATAGGGTAAAATTGTCTGAAATGATGAAGAGAGACGGTACTCATACTTTTCCAAAAATCGACATTATATATATATTTTTTCCTCTCTGAAACCTTTTAATGTATGGTTTTAAATTGGAAACTTGCTTAAGTTTCAAAAAGTCCTTCTTCTGTAAAAAAAATAGTTTATTCATGCTAAATTTGAAAAAATAAAGATGAAATTTTTTTTCTTCTGGAGAATCATTGTAGAGAATTAGACTTTATACGTTTTTATAAAAGTAAGTAAGAAATGGGATATTTTCTGGGAAATAAGTGGGATCGGATAATGCCTTCCCTGGAAAGCACAAGTGAAGTTTCGTGTGTGCTTTCATGATTCTATATTGGTTAATATGTGATTCCTTCAAAACTTTCTTGGTAGGGAAAAATTGTAAGACTATATCATAAATTAGTTTTCTTGATAATAGTATTTTTCAGAAAGCCATATTTCTGGAAAATATTTTTCAATCTCTCCTCAAAAATTATACAACCGCTTATGATTTTGTCCTTATGAGAATATGAAATAATCAGATTCTCTACAATGTGGCGTTGGAATTTTTTCTATATTTATAAATTTGACTTCTGTAAAAGCTTCAAAAGTTTATTTTTTATAATAAAAATACGAAATTAAATTTTTGAAGTCCATAAAAAATTAATGTAAAGAAAAATTAGATGTGCCTAGAATTTTTTTCACTACACTATAGAGAATAATACTATATACTATTTGAGAAGATAAATATTTTCTGAGATACAGATCGCAGGAGTGTGAGTTTTTTTTTCTTCCTGGAAAACATGAGTTAAGTTTGTAAATTTGATTGTCGTGCTTATTACACAATTCTGTATTGGTCACTGTAATTCTTTCCATTAGTCAGAGAAACATTTTCATTATTTCTCTGGCTAAACATTTCATACAAGGTTTCAGAATATGCAAAAAAGACAAGTTTATTTGGAGAGGGTTGTCCCACTTTAGAAACAATCAGAATAGACAAACATTTTCGCGAAAAAAAAATTTATGATAAAAGTTTGGGAAAAAAAAGAAGTAGAGAGAAAGAACATTTAGAAATATGCTCATTTATTTCCTTCAACTGAAATGAGAAACTAATATTTTCCCTTCTTTTTACTGAAATTAGAACTAAGACAAAAACTGACAATGTTATTAAAAGCTTTTAAAGCCAATAATTTGCTTTTATAAGAAATGGTAACATGATTGAAACTTTAATCATATTGAGTAAAATAAAAGAGAGCAAAAAATTTTTTTGAAACATGTCTCTACAGGAAACTGTTAATTTTTAATTAAATGTTATTCTTTGATGATCCTTTTTCGTTGTAAAATTCTTTGAAAATAAAAATATGTACAACGTAAGCAAGTGCATAAATTTGTTTTTTTGTATATAAATATTTTTTAATGCTACAAGATGTACAAAAAATTTTTTTTTGGCACTCAGAAATGAGTTTTAAGCAATTTTGTGCGGTAGGGTGTAACATCAGGATGCTGGAGAGAATTAAGTAATGTAATTCTTAGCAACTTTATTCTATCTATAAATAGTCCAGTAATCACCACCCTCAATAAATATATATATATATATATTTTTCAATTATCATAAAATAATATTGAAAAGAAAACACACGAGCAGTTCGGAAAATAAGTTTTAGCCAAGAAAAAACAAAAGCAATATGAAAATCTTACGATTCAATTCTGAAGTAAAAAAAGCTTCCTCCGACTCAGAGTCTGAAACCGTCTGCTGCTATGGAAGCAAGTAAAAACGCATTTCGAGCACAAGAGGAAAACGATTTTTAATTCACTCCCCGACCTGAGTAAAAACTCGTGACCCTACTTGAAAAAATTTATCACATAAGCATTGTCAACGGCAGTGTTGCAGATAATTGGCGAGGGGAGTTCTTCAGGTAGAGAGATAGTAGGTGGGATTAAAAATATTAAAATCCATTTATTTGCTGGATGATGTCTCTTAAAATCACCTTTCTCTTCTTCTTAGTTTTATCTTGAAACCACTCAGGTTTTGATGAGTTGAGATTTACCAACCGTGACAAAGATTCGCCATTTTTTGATTATGTTTTTTTAAATTTTCCTAGCTTAATTGCATGTGTTTTTTTTAACTTCACATTTGTTAGCAAATATTCTAAATATATATACTAAGAGATTGTTTAAAATGGAACACCCAGTCTATGTATAACAAACATGTGTGTACCAGTCACATTGTTTTTTTTTTTTTTATAAGGATGTTTAGTGTACATGTGTTATAATTTCAGTCAAAATAGAAAACAAATGAATCTTTTATTATGCGGTGGATAAAGAATTTTCATGTTTTCAAAAAGGTGTTATCAGACACTTAATGAATGACAAAATATCATTAACAGTATTTTGCATCTTCCTTCTTTAATCTTCGGGAGAATAATCTAGCAGGATTTATAGTTTCTCTGTTTTGGTTAGTTTCTGAAAAAAAAAAGAAGAAATTTTTAAAAATAATCGCAGAGCAAAACAGTCATTTATAATAAAATTGCTTTTAAAAAGGAAAATATTAACAAGAAAAACATTAATAAGAAAAGTATTAAAAAGAAAGTAAGTGTTAGTAGATAAAAAGTCCTATAGGGAAATAAAAATGTAAGCATATTAAATGTAAAATTATTTTTCCTATTACTTTTTAAAATTTTATTTTTATTAAATTGTAGAAAAATTATTATTTTACCTCAGGTCTGTGAAACTCAAACTTTTTTAAGAGGTATTTTTTAATTGCCTGTATTGTTCGAAATTTATTTATTTTATTAACTCTTTGCAATCGTTACTCTACTTGTCGAAATTAATTATTCTTTGATGAACATAATAGACAGGGTGGGGGGGGCAGGATGAACATAAAAAAAGTGAGGGGGGCTTTTTTCTTCTTAATCGATAAAGAAGAAAAAAGCCCCCCCTTTTTTTTCTTCTTTTTTTTAAAAAAAGGAAAAGAGCTATTATACTTTAGAGCAGTTTTTAAAATATTATTTTGAATTTTATGTATCTCCAAAGCCTATCGACTAAGGTGAACAATAGTGTTTAATACTGTGATTAGTTCAATCTACTCATGACAGGAACGATAATAAAGCTTTTTTATAAAATAGACATACGAGTGCAAAGGTTTGAATTTAAAATAATTATGAATTAAAGCTTTATTTATTATATTTTTGTGCTGCCTGAAAAGGATTTGGACTTTTAACCCTGAACACACAGAAAGGTCTAAAATAGTACCTTTCCAATTTTGATATGAGATTACCGATATCACCTAATATAGATAGGATTGATAAGTTCTGTTACTCTACTTATTTATAAACATATCAACAAATAAAGTTTTTGTTAACAATACTTTAAATAAGTACTTTAAATAAATACTTTAATAATACTTTAAATAAATACTTTAAGCAAATAAATTAAAAAATTTAACAAACTGATTTTTCCGCTTGCTATTTCCATGTAAACACGCCGAGTACATGTACCTCTCTCTTTCATTTTTGCAATTTGGTGAAGATTAAAATTATAATTAAATTCATTACACTAATTACTGAATATCTAAGTTAAAACGACAATTTTACATCACCGCGTATATTCTCGAAACTTATACGCTTAACTTCAGTAATTAAGTTTGTTTCATTAGAACAATCTCTTTAAAAATATTTTGTAGTTTTTTTTTTAAATTTAGAGTTAAAAAATGGATCAAATATAAATAGTATAAAGATATATTTTTGCACCACAGAATAGTAGCATTTCAGATTTCTTACCAAATATCTTAATAGGTATTTAGCAAAAGTCTATTTTCTTCATTCTTTACTGGTTCTGTGTACAGCCTGAAAAAATATAATATATGAATAAAAGATATGATTTATAATTAATATATGATAATTATTACCTTAATTTGTAATTATTTCAAGTGTCACTCTCCAAATACGCTATTTTTTAAAACAAATAATGTTCTGATTTTTCAGTACAAAATAGTGATGTATAAAAAAATTTCCCTTTACCCCGGCATAATTTTAGAGATGTTTGCCGTAAAAAGTACACATAGTAAATTATTTTAAAAATGTTCTTGCTTTTATGATTCCCGAGACAGCGTGATTTTCTAAATTAAAATTTATTCGATAAATAATTCAAAACATTCGCACTGAATCTGAAAGCAGTGAGAATAATTTAATACCAAATTTTCAAAATTTAAGGGATATAGTTAGTATTCAAATATCTATTTTTTGAAGAAAAAAACAACATATCTTTCCATTATTAAAGTAAAATAGACTAAATTTCTTAAATATTTTTTTATTATTCTAGGCATTATTTCATATGTGCCGAAACTCATTGTAATTCGGGACAGTGATACTTCAGTTGCATAACTTGTAAGTTTCAAAAATAGTCAGAGTACTGTGGTTTACATGATTATGAGTAGTTAAAGGGAAGAAAAAAAATATCCCCCCCCTTTTTCAGTCATGTTTCTCATTTGGTGCAAAATTTAAACATTTCAAAATTCAAACAAAGATAATTATCATCATTATCATAATGATTTTAATATTGCAACTTATCATTGCCGCTTTCTTCATCAATTGGAGTTTTGATTACGGTGCATTCAAACATTTTTAACGAAAAATTTAAAGAACTGGCATTTATATGGTTAATTTAAGTTTGAAATAGAAGCACTGGAATTGAAAATAAAATTTTTTAATAAAACCAAAACATTGTAAAAAAATAATAATTACCATTTCTACTTCTTCACGTAATTTGTCCATGTCTTTTTTCAAAGATTTACATCTGTTTCTCCAAAGATTCATTTCCTCTAAAGCATCTTGAATATTTCTTTGGGAGTCATCATAAGCTGATTGTAATTCCTAGAATGTGATACAAAAAAACTTATTAAGTTTTAAACATATTGGATATGACTTTAAAAAAAGGATTATTTCTTTTACAGTTAAACGACTAATTTATAAATTTGAAAATGCGTATATATTTAATTACTTTCATGAAATATATTACATTGCATTTTATTTGTACTAGTGTTTAATTTTTGAAAGTGATATTGTATTGCAACTTAAAATACCTGGGATGGAATCCCATATCGATAAGAGTATTATTTTCAGTCCTTGGTATGAAAAAAAAAAAACGAACTCAGTACCAAAAATACTAGTCTTTCAAAATTATTTATTAATTTACCGTAATGAATTATAACTATTTGTTTATATTTCAAGAATATATATTGAATTTGAGAATAAAGAGTAAAAAATAAATTCAATCGGGCATTCAAAATGGGACGAAAAATATTTTGAAAGTTTAGTATTAATCTTTATGATAATAAAAACTTTTAATTAAATGTTCTATTGAAAACATTCGATTCATTATTTTAGGGAATAACTTAAGAGTGTCATTTGTTTCTGAAATTGCAGCAACTTATTATGTAATTTTTTCGGTTTGAATTTCTCTTTTCAATAATAAATCTTAGCATTTTGTGCTAAACTAAAATAAAATTTACGATAAAAACAATGAAACTGAGGTAATACTATTTTTGACACTTAATAATAGATGTAAGTGGCATGGTTGAAAGTAAGACTCGAAAGAGAAGAAACTGATAGTAAAATATTTCATTTTTCGCTTGTTTTTAGAGAGAGTAAAAGTTTGGTGACTACCGCATTTAATTAAGAGTTATTACGTAGATTTATTTATAAAATCTCCTTCAGTGATTTTTAAAAAGTAAAATACAAGTAACATTATGAAACTTTTACTATTTTTAATTATAAACTATTTACTAATTCTTGGGCAATGAATTATCACTTTGCATAGTATGCTACAGAGCAACGACCTGTAGTAGTCATGTAAAAGCTGAATAAGAAATTTTAATCTAGTACAGTACAGTTACGTGACTGATACATGTAGCAGTCATGAAGGACCTGGGTAAGAAACTGTCATGTAGAACAGTATAGCATTATAAAACAATATACATGACCACTCATTACAATAGTCACGTAGAACCTGGGTAAGAAACTGTCATGTAGTATAGTTACATGAGAAATACATGTAGTACAGTTAATCTTAATGAATATTATATGCCTGAAGCAAATCCCATAATCTCATTAAGGTTACAGGGAAAAAATTTAAGCATTTCTGTAAAAACCTGAAAAGCCAGGTCTTTTCATTAAAGCCTGATAAAACTCGTTTTTTTTCTAAGTAAAACTCATAAAAAATAGCTTTTCACAAACCCTGTTTTTTTGGAAGTAATCTGCTTATAACGATATCAATTAGAAGGAATATAAATTAAAGCGTGAGTGCTATGAAAAAAAACCCCCTACATTTTATTGCATAAACATTTAATAAAATACGATGCTATTTTTATACAGTTTAAAACAGTCTGCGGTACTATTGGATGGTGTTGGATGTTACCACTTACCAGCAACTGAAGTGCTTGTCTCTTGCAAAGCTTTTGCAAGTCGCTTGTTTGGTCTGAAGTCACGTCAATTGATTTGTGAAGTCCGGTTATTTCATTGCTGTACTTTGACTTTAAAGAAGATAATTCGGATGTCAGTTTACCACTGCAATCTGATAGTTTCCTGTCAAGGCTCTCAACCTGATCTTGTAGTACACGGCTGTAAAACAGAATCACATGTTTGCTTATAAATTCGGAAGAATAATTACTATTAAAACAATTAAAAAGAAATAAAAAATAGTATTAGTGAAAGAGAGAAATTTTATATCTTCTAACAAAATTATTCATTATTCGGGAAAAATTTCACTTATTTAATCGTAAGTTTTAGTTAGCTGCAAGTTTATTTCTGTACTATTTATCTTCAAGTTCTTAGATTTAAAATGGTGAATGCTGACAAATTATTAAAAAATAAATAAATTATTGTTTAAAACTATATCTGAAACTTGTGCACTGAGTAGTCATTTTATGACCACCTGACAGTTTCATGCAAATGATCTATTGGGTCACAGTATTGGTTTTAGTGGCCTCGCGTAGTGTAAAAAAGAAAGCTGAGCTCTTAAGACAGTGGCAGTGTAAGTGAATTCCTTGAGAAGTTGAAGTTGGAGTTTTATGATTAGATGAACTTAGGCGTGGGGTGATACAAGAGCTAAAATTCTGATATGCTGTTAATATTGTGAAGGATTATATGGTTTGAGGAACACGAGGAAAATTCCTCTTCATTGCGTTGGCCCTCACAATTCCTAGACCTCAATTCATTTGGTTACGTAGTTGAAGTTAAAGGAACTATCCGGCAGCTTCATTCATAATCATTTTGTCTTTTAACACTGGAAAGTCCTATTCATATACCACAAACGACCTATCATGGTCGCTTGTGGTATATGAATAACATATGAGTAGACGTCGGCTGGATTAAAGTTAAAAGGTAGAAAACGACATATTACGGAGATGGTAGTAATAAAGTGATTGCTCAGTGGATATTTAATGATATTTAAGAATAGCTACCTTTGTTCAAAATTAAAAAGCTTTATGTAAAGTCAGAAATTAGTGGATTTTAAGGAATTAAATTTTCTAACCAGCGAAAAAAAAGTAGAGAATTATTTTTAATAAAAGAAAATTTTGCAAATAGAACATAATTTTCAGAATTTTTTCTGTGTAATTATAATTATATTTAATTTTAAAGAAATTTAAAATTAAAATATAGTGTCAATTTATTTTATGAGCTAAGCTTACCAAAAAAAATACTGAATTTAACTATAATTAATTAATGCAAAAGATCATACTGTAATTGGTAATATAATTAATATTATTTAAGGGAATGCATTTTTAAACAAAGAGCTTGATATCTTAATTTTTTTATCTTGATAGATTTATAGCTAGTTATCTTGATTTTTAGATTTTATGAATTTTGATTTTCTTTTTCCTGGAGAAAATTGTATATTTAATAAAATTTGAACTGGTGCAGAAATGGAATTCTGTATATGTCCCCGAACAGATCTGATTTACTTTTTCAATGTATCAACTAGTAGGAACAAATAATATTTTTAATGCATTTTCGTAACAGAAAACTAAATCATATTAAATCTCTCTTAATTGTAAGCTATCATATTAAATTTTCTAATATTTTTTACTTAATATTGTTTTTATTTATTTTACATAATTTCTTCATGCGTAAGCACACGCGGGAAATTCTTTTAAAAGTATATGTTCAATAGCGTGTACAAGTTGATTTCATGCTCAAACACTTTTATACACACGGAGAAGAAAAATTTTGGTAAAATTACCGTATTGTATCGTTAAAACATTTTGCGTTTTTTGGTACACCAAGGGGATACATAAGGAAGACATCAAGGTAGAAGCAGAACAATTTCGAGACAAACAATAAGATGGGCAATATGGTCAGCAGTAAGCACCGGTCACCTTTCCTTCTCAAACAAACAATCTAAAGCTGGGTAGGCTTCAAGCCACTATCGGAAAGTCCAGTTCTATAGGTCCAGTTCTATACAATTACAACTCAGTGCTTCAAGGACTTTGTTATCACGATTTGCGATCTCAAATATTACTTATTTGAGATTATTTGGCTAATTCTCCGCTTAAAGACATTCATTTTTTAAAACTAATTTTAGAAAAATGCTTTAAAAATTCTTTCTGTTTGATTATCTGTTTTAAGACTATAGCTGCATATATAGTGCAAATATCGAAAGTATTTTTTTTGGCCCGTTCAAGTGTTTAATCCTGGATTTGAATAATAAATGTTATTTTTAGCAGCGTGCATTTTAATTTAAGCTACCACCAGAAGGTCTCAACAGCCGGCACTAATAAATAACAGATGAGCTAAGTTTTTATGATGACATATTTTCAGAAATCTTGAACAGAAGCCAAATGTAGATACCAGAGATATCATTATTTTCTGAATTGCACGAAAAAAAAAACTGTCAATTACAAAATACTTCAAATAGTTATTATTATTTTTTTTTTTTGGTATGAAAATAACTGAAATCTGAAGAAAAAAAAACATGATAATATAACATTTTCGTTCTTTTTTGTTATTGTAATAGTTAAAAAAATAAAACTACAAACTCATATGAAAAACAAACAAACAGAGCTCTTAGTTATTTAAAAAAAACAATAGATAAATATTTTTGCTTTTCAAATTGCAACAAATGGAAGAATCGCAAAATAAAGCAAATCATTATTCCGTCCAGATTTTTTAAAATTAGTTTTTGGTCTATTTACGAATAAATTAAAGATAAATAGTTTACATTTTGGGACAACGAAAATAAATTAATAATAAGATATCAATTTCATTATTAATTAGTTATTTGTACACATTTTAAAGCGGGGATGCCCTTCCCTCTGCAGAGGATCAAAATTGTGATGGCATGTTTTCGGATCAACGTCAGGGTTATTTCCCAGACCGTCGAACATATAGCCCATTGTTTAGCTTTAGTGAGACGTAAATAAAGACTACCGCATATTTTTTTCAGCACTTGTGTATTCATGTTTTCTTTTCTTTGAAAAAAAAAAACTGTGTATCAGATTCTTATAAAGGACACGCTTAAAATACTATTAAATAGTTTAAAAAAGGTAAATAAATAAATAAAGTTTCATGAAGTGTACATTATGTAATTTAATAAAAGCAAATACTGTAATGATCCATCGATTCTTAAGGAAGTTTTGAATCAGCTTTGTAATCGGTGCAAGTTGGTAGCAATGCACGAATCATTCAGATAATGTCATATTCGAACCTAGGTTATCACAACAGAAACTCAAAATTTAGAGCGTAACCCGAACTTAGACCGAAGAGATCGAAAGCTATACATATCTAAATGAATAAAAAAGGGTGAAAACGAGTGCCTTATTACTTTTATGACCTACCGAATAAAACGACAAAACAAGTAAGATTTCTTTTATAAAACGAAAAGTTGTTGCTCTAAATAAATAAGATAAACATAAATAAATAAATAATTAAAGCTTTATTAAAATGCTTGATATTTTATTTAATCAACGCTAAAGGAAAGTTTGTCTCAATAGAAAATAATACTGGGAATCCTATTTTTTTTTAAAGATAAGTAAAAGTTTTAAATTTATTTTATTTTTGACAAAATAAATGTATAACTTTTAAAATAGGAAAAGGAATCTAATGGAAAGTCTGAACAATTGTAATTATTAAAAGATTAATATCGAGGACAAATTTATCTAGCAATTTCAGTAAGATTTAATGCAATTAATATAAAATCATTTTTTTATTTCTTCTAAATGTTGAAGTATTTGTTATGGAATATAATACTAAAACAAAAGCAATTCTAATTTTTATCTAACTATTTTCTTAATCTATTTACTTGAATTTACATACTGATTAATTCATTTGAATTTCCAAATATTATTTATTTTTAAGGTTGCATTTATTTCAATACATTTTCGCTTTTCATCTATTCCATTTTCCATCAAAAGCATGTAAAATATGCATATCAAAAGTAGATGCTATTTGTAAAGACGTTTCCATTAATTTTGCATCCACCATCGGGAGTAAAAATAACTTTTTGATTTGTNGTTGAAGTTAAAGGAACTATCCGGCAGCTTCATTCATAATCATTTTGTCTTTTAACACTGGAAAGTCCTATTCATATACCACAAACGACCTATCATGGTCGCTTGTGGTATATGAATAACATATGAGTAGACGTCGGCTGGATTAAAGTTAAAAGGTAGAAAACGACATATTACGGAGATGGTAGTAATAAAGTGATTGCTCAGTGGATATTTAATGATATTTAAGAATAGCTACCTTTGTTCAAAATTAAAAAGCTTTATGTAAAGTCAGAAATTAGTGGATTTTAAGGAATTAAATTTTCTAACCAGCGAAAAAAAAGTAGAGAATTATTTTTAATAAAAGAAAATTTTGCAAATAGAACATAATTTTCAGAATTTTTTCTGTGTAATTATAATTATATTTAATTTTAAAGAAATTTAAAATTAAAATATAGTGTCAATTTATTTTATGAGCTAAGCTTACCAAAAAAAATACTGAATTTAACTATAATTAATTAATGCAAAAGATCATACTGTAATTGGTAATATAATTAATATTATTTAAGGGAATGCATTTTTAAACAAAGAGCTTGATATCTTAATTTTTTTATCTTGATAGATTTATAGCTAGTTATCTTGATTTTTAGATTTTATGAATTTTGATTCTTTTTTTCTGGAGAAAATTGTATATTTAATAAAATTTGAACTGGCGCAGAAATAGAACGTCCCCGACCAGAGTAAGTGTGATATTATTCGGAAAAATACAGTTTATTTATTCTTAACTAGCTGCCTTAGGCGATCATCTGATTTACTTTTTCAATGTATCAACTAGTAGGAACAAATAGTATTTTTTATGCATTTTCGCAACAGAAAAACTAAACCATATTAAATCTTTATTAATTGTAAGCAATCATATTAAATTTCAAATATTTTTTACTTAATATTGTTTTTATTAGTTTTACATACTTTTCATGTATACTTTTCTTCCCAAACAAACAATCTAAAGCTGGGTAGGCTTCAAGTCACTATCAGAAATTGAGGTCCAGTTCTATACAGTTACAACTCAGTGCTTCAAGGACTTTGCCATCACGATTTGTGATCTCAAATATACTTATTTGAGATTAATTTGGCTAATTTTCCGCTTAACGACATTAATTTTTTAAAACTAATTTGAGAAAAATGCTTTAAAAATTTTTCTTAAGACTATAAGACTTTTCTTAAGACTATTGATTATTTGTCTTAAGACTATAAGCTGTATATATAGTGCAAATATCGAAAGTATTTTATTGTCCTGTTCAAATGTTTAATCCTAGATTTGAATAATAAATGTTATTTTTAGCAGCGTGTATTTAAATTTAAGCTACCGCCAGAAGGTCACAGCAGCCGGCACAAATAAATAACAGATGAGCTAAGTTTTTATGATGACATATTTTCAGAAATTTTGAACAGAAGCCAAATGTAGATACCAGAGATAACATTATTTTTTGAAATGCAGGGAAAAAAAACTGTCAATTACAAAATACTTCGAATAGTTATTTTTTTTTTGGTGTAAAAATAACAGAAATCTGAAAAAAAAAGAAACATGATAATATAAAATTTGAGTTCTTTTTTCTAATTGTAACAGTTACATTAATAAAACCGTAAACTCATATGAAAAGCAAACAGAGCTCTTAGTTATTTAAAAAAAAATAGAGAAATATTTTTGCTTTTTAAATTGTAACAAATAGAAGAATCGTAAAATAAAGTAAATCATTATTCCGCCTGGATTTTTTTAAAATTAGTTTTTGGTCTATTTACGAATAAATTAAAGATAATAGTTTACTTTTTGGGACAACGAAAATAAATTAATAATAAGATATCACTTTCATTATTAATTAGTTATTTGTACATATTTCAAAGCGGGGGTACCTTCCCTCTGCAGAGGATCAAAATTGTGATGGCATGTTTTCGGATCAACCTCAGGGTTATTTTAATTTCCCAGACCGTCGAACATATAGCCCATTGTTTAGCTTTAGTGAGACGTAAATAAATACTACAGCATATTTTTTTAGCACTTGTGTATTCATATCTTCTTTTTTTTTTTTAAAAAAAACCTGTGTATCAGATTTTTATAAAGGGCACACCTAAAATATTATTAAATAGTTTAAAAAAGGTAAATAAATAAATAAAGTTTTATGAAGTGTACGTTATGTAATTTAATAAAAGCAAATATTGTATATTTATCAATAAACTAAATAAATAATAATAATTTGTTGTATTCACATCATATTTAAAAAAAATGGCAAATTATTTCTTAATGAGCGTTGAACAACACATTTTATTTAGCGGATGAAGGAATCTTAGTATTCAACTTAAAACTTTATAACTTGGAAATCGATGCCGAAGACTAAGGAACACCTGTGTCTCTACAGAAAACTTCTTCAATAAAACTAAACATTTGCTTCATATGGAAAGGAAAACCTCGAAAACTCTCCCTGGTTAGATTGATGGTAATAGAACTCTTACCCATGATCCATCGATTAGTAAGGATGTTTTGCATCAGCTTTATAATCGATGCAAGTTGGCAGTAATACACGAATCATTCAGCTAACGTTATATTCGAACCTAGGTTATCACAACAGAAACTCAAAATTTAGAGCGTAACCCTAAATGAGACCGAAAAGATCGAAAAAAGAGGGCCATACCTATTTTAATTAATAAAAAAGGGTGAAAGCAAGCGGCTTATTACTTTTATGTCCTACCGAATAAAGCGACAAAACAAGTAAAAAAAATTTTTTTTAAAAAAAGTTGTGGTTCTAAATAAATAAGATAAACATAAATAAATAAATAAATAAATAAATAAATAAATGAATGAATAAATGAAGCTTTATTAAAATGCTTGATATTTTATTTAATCAACGCAAAATGAAAGTTTATCTCAATAGAAAATAATACTAGAAATCTTACTTTTTTAAAGGTAAGTTAAAGTTTTAAATTTGTTTTATTTTTGACAAAATAAATGTATAACTTTTAAAATAGGAAAAGGAACTTAATGGAAAGTCTGAACAATTGTAATTATTAAAAGATTAATATCGAGGATTTTTTTTTAAATCCTACAAATTAATCTATCAATTTTAGTAAGGTTCAATGCAATAAATCTAAAATGATTTTTTATTTCTTCTAAATTTTGAAATATTTGTTATGGAATATAATACTGAAACAAAAGCAATTCTAATTTTCATTTCACTATTTTTTAAATTTATTCACTTGAACTTACATACTGATTAATTCATTTGAATTCCCAAACATTATTATTTATTTATTTATTTTTAAGGTTGCATTTATTTCAATACACTTTCGCTTCTTCATTTATTCCATTTTCTATCAAAAGCATGCAAAATATGCATGTCAACATAATATTTAAGTAGATGCTGTTTGTAAAGACGTTTCCATTAATTTTGCATCCAACATCGGGAGTAAAAATAACTTTATGATTTGTTCGACAATTTTAAGTGAGAGTTTATTACTTCGTATACTGCGGTATTGTGAAGAAAAAATATATACTTAACTTTAATCATATTTATATTCTACTCATTAATTTGTGATATGCATGAAATGATTTTTTAACAGCATGGATTATTTGTACTAATCAATGTATTTTTTGTACTGTAATATTTGAAAAGACGGGAGCTGTGTAGCAGCTTTAATTTCACGAACAATTCAAAAATGAATAAGTATAAGTAAGTAATTGTTTGTAATTAAAAAAACATGTAAAAACGGAATTATTGACTACAGAGAATATGAAAGTAAATAGTTGAGAATTAGTTATGATTTATCATTCTTTTTACTGATTATACTCTTTCATGGTATGCTTTCACAAAGCCTGTTTTTCTTAAAAGTTACTTTATAAACAAAATGTATCATTATGCAACAATCATTATAACATGTATTTTTATATTTATACCATTCATAAAAGACTTAATTTGGTCAAAGGAGGAAAAATAGTAGATAACACCGAGAGTGCATTATTTTCAATGGCTATAATTTTTTTAAAATTTTTTTTATTTTATTTATTTATTTTATAAAGCCATAGAGTTTTATATGCTTTTTTTGTTCTTTTCCACCAAATAATAAAGATATGAAAGAATTAACAGTACCTCACCTCTTTTCCCGCCATTGTGATGCTCGGGGTCCATTTGTAGTAGTTGATCCACCACCAAGTTTCCTCTTGTTTTTCGTATCCAAATCCATGCTAAGATCTTCAGTCGCTTTCGGCAAGGTCCAGAAGGCTGCATCATCATACAAACTCTTTGGTCTGGGAGGAAGTGGTGAATCTTCTGCAGAATTCTTGGACATCATTTTCTGCAGGCGTTTTTCTCTTCGGCTGTTAATGGCTTCTTGAACTTCATCGTCTAGTTCGTACGAGGAACTTAATGTCGCATTTAATCTTGATTCAAATGTAGAACTTCTTGTAAGTTCATTCAAGGAGGGCGACGGAACGGACTTTTGCCGCGACATTGAAGGCCTTTCTAGAGAAGCTTCCCGGATAGCAGCTCCGGGAGATGGAGACCCGGTCAAAGTTGAGTCGGCAAACGTTGAAAAATTCAAGTCCCTCCTGTCCGATCGTAGCTGGGTTTTTGAAAGGGAATCGGAATATCGTTTTTCAATATCGGTTAGGGTATCCGAGTACAATCCTGTGCCATATCGATAATTGTCATTGTAGATGGAGGTGTAAGGTCTTCGCCAATTGCTGGAACCTCGAGGAGCCATTTCGAATCGATGTGTTTTCTTTTTGGTTGTCGCGAATGAGAATAGAACCGAAGAGGAAAGATTTTCGTGTCTGTCGAGAGGAAGGTCTTGGCTCGATAATCTACTTCAAAGGAACACCAAGAATTTTCCGCCTCCTCTTTCAACTATGTTCTTTTTTTTTTCGTTCCTTAAAAAATATTCCCTTGTTTCTTTGTCGTATCTTCTTCTCCTCTACACCAAATATTTATCGCTTTCTTGGCTTATCTTATTGGAAGTGTTTTAAAATAATACATTTTGGAACAACAAATTTAAGAACAATTTATATCTATGTTTTAAAAAATGCTAAGTGATTAAAATATGTCTTGGCTGTTATTGGCGAGAGAAACTGAATTGTGACTTTAAAAATAAGTATAGAAAATAGCTTCATAAAACCATTGTTAGTTCACTAACGCGAAAATACTAACTGCAATATTTTTATAAAAGATATAAAATTTAATACTGAATATTTGAAATGAGACTAGGTTGTTCTTGCTTTAATTAAAAACCTCATTTTTAAATTTTTATAAAAATATAATCCATTGCAAATGATTAAGTAAATAAATTAATGTTGCATAAAAATAGTATTTTTTTCTATTTTGCGAAAGGTGAATAAGAAAGAAAAAGTATCTACCCATAGGAAAGGATACTATTTATTCATTTAAAACAATCAAAATGCTTGAAGACAATTTTAAGATGAGAAAAAATTTAAATTTTGGAAATAATTACTATAAATTACTGAAATATTTCAATAGGTATCAGGATATATATATGCAACTTTGTTTACATCATTAAAATACAAAACTAAATTTATTTAAAAATTATTTTCCTTCTTATGTATTTATCTTTCATTATCGTAAAACATTAGGTCAATCCTTAAATATGCACTGCTTTTTTAAAAGTTTGAGCCCAATAACTTAATTTGGTGATTCAGCCGACGACACGCTGAAGGTAGTTTTATGAAACAGGTGTCAGTGGAAGTATAATTACCTTCGTTCATTTTTCCTTGTCTGATGTTTGCGTTACGCATTTTTTGAGACTTTTACATCACAGAGAAAAGCAATATATTTTTATCCAGACCCATGCTGAATCTGAGATAGTAACTTTAAATGTAAAGTGAAAAACGAGAAAATGAGCCAAGAAAGAAAAAAAAAGAAAGAAAAAGAAAAGGGAAAAAAACTGACCAACCGGAATAACTTTTGATCTAATGATCGGATCTTAAAGTTCGAAGACTTAAACTGAATGACCCTGAATAAACATACAATTTCTTTAACGGATTCGGATTTCTGATCCCCAAAATATAAGATTTAGATGCAATCTGTGAAATATAATTCCCATAGTTTGATCAGGGAAGCGATCCAAAGTTTGGATCCCATAATGTTAATTTCATTTTTTGCGCCATTCACAATATCTAGAGATTGTTTAAGCAAATTGAAAATGTTTTGCAGACAATTATAAAATTCATTTATCGAAGGATAATTCCATGCAAAAAATACATTTTAGTAAATATTCATTATTTATTTTAAAATAATCGAAATAATTTTGAACTGTAAGTTATTCAATTTTTTTCATCATTTAAAGAAGGAAATTTTGAATAGTAAAACACAGAAAAAAAAATTGAGCGAAATTGGTTGAATAGTTCTAATAAATCGAATTTTAAGTATACGACTTCTCTAAGAAACGAAATATCAACGTAAGAGACAAAAAATTCAAAATTGAGATTTTTATACATTTGGTATCTTTGCTGAGTTATAAACGTCAGCACTGTAGCGTCCACGTAGCGTAAACCGTGGGAAGGCAAGACATGCAAAATTAGCGTGGCGCTCAACGTGTTAAGGCTTGAAAATGCACCAAGCCAGTTTAAGTTGATGAAGGCACGCTAAAAGCATTAATTGCGGCAAAACTGGTGAACAACAAAGACTTCAATGAGAGATTTAATTCATCGAATTCGACCGTTTATAATAATTTAAAAAGCCTAAAGATTTAATCTCAAAGATCGACATATATCCCTGGGTACAAGAAGCAAGTTGTCTACAATAATGTTGCGTTCCCTAAAAAATTTTTTGACGGTAAAAACTTTACACCAAATAAAGAGGTCAAAAATCTATTGTATCAGAATTTTGCCAGCAAAGATAGGGTTTCCGCGATTCGTGAAAAATTTTAGTAGTGGTAGTATTTTTAGGTTAATGCTAGAAAATATTTATTATTTTAATAAACCACTTTATTATTAAGTGGTTTAGCAAGCTGGAATTTTCATGCATATATACTTTTTTTGGAAAACAATTTTTAGTGGTGGTTACACAGAAGTTAAAATATTGACATATGTTTTATTTTCGCTACCACTTTTTAAAATTTTCAAGCCCTCGAGAACCCTGAAAAAACAAAAAAAATAATGCAAGTAGAATCATGCTAGTGCCAGAAAAATGGCAAAAGGTATTGGACCAGAATGGACAATATATGATTTAATAAAATATTTATTCACTATAAGAAAATCGTTTTCGTTTTCATAATTAAATAAATAAATAAATAAAAAAATAAAAATAACGAAATTACTTTTTAAACAAACCAATAGTTTAGCTTTGATAGTATATATTTGTAGAATATAGTAAATATTATAGTAGTATAAATAGTATGTATAAAATAGTTGTCAAGCTACTTCTCTCGAAATCTATCGTGAAGCACTCACGCTGTGTTTCTCAATTGCATGGCAGAATTTTTACTCTGCTGTATAATAGAAAGGCAAGTATTGGTATAAACTGAAACTGAAGCTATCCCACAATGGTATAAACTGAAGGCTAATTTCTTTTGAATCTCATTTATTTGATTTTTAACATAAGTAGTTTAATTTAAATGTATTTTAGCGTAGACTATTTTTGTTATGGTAACCCCTCTCGTTAAAAAGTCCTTGAACGCTTGGCTTACAACGTGATTGCGATTTTTCACATCAGCCCACACGTTCCGAATCCTTTGCCGAATAAAAATAGAACTAACCTAGGAACCCACATTTCAACGTAAAACCTCTTTACATACATATCGAAAAGTTTGTAAACACGAGGATTAGTTTTTGTAGATAGATAACAGTAATCACCGTAATCAAACGTGTTTTTGGAAATATAATATATCTTTTTTTTGGAAAAAAATATTTATATTTACTTAATGGAGATTATGTTGAAGAATGCTTCATTGTACATTTAAATAGTTAATTTAATTTGTGTTGATTAATACCACAAAACAATGCGTGTAACTGTAAATCCACTATCATATCTTACGCAAATAGCAATTTATTAATTTTTTACGCAAGAAATTTTTTTTTTGTTTTTCGTTGCATGAGATTTTTTAACAATAATCTTATGTTGTAACAAACTTCTAGGTGAGTTAAGGAACACTATCAGGATTTTAATCCTGATACGTGAGCTACACGGTAAAAAATTATGGTTCAAATTACGGGATTACCGGCATTTTGGGTGCATCATACGAAAAATCTATTTTTATTCTTCAAATATTATACCATAATTATTACAGTAGTATTTATTTAATTAGAGTGATTCAGTGATTTTACAGCAACTATTACTGGAAATCATTACTGGGAACTATTATTTTATTTTACAGGGTGTTCCAAAATTCTCTTTACAACTTCAAAAATTCATAACTTCGAAAATAAACAAGATATTTATATTCTGTCTTTTGCATGTATTACTGCAACTAATAAAGTTTTGTTTAGTACACTTCAACATGCGCACCATTGGTGACCCTAAGCACTTCCAGTCTGTAATCAATTTCAAGCCAGGTGATGTAAAGATAATTTTGGAACACCCTGTATTACCGTCGTTGAACAGTCGACCCAATTTTTGGGTTTACGACTACTAATGTTCAACTTCGTAGCCTTGTAATTTTGAACCCAATCCAGAAGATAAGGGAACTCCTGGATCAAGTACTGAGGGAAATTTGCTTTCGTGGAGAACTTTTTGATGGAAAACTAACTTCCCCCCCCCCCCTGCATTTGCGTAACATGGAGAGGAAGACCATGAGAAACTCTCACGCTTAGCCTGACGGCAAAGGGACTCTAACTTATGATCCGTCTACCACCGAGGATATTTCACGTCAGCACTGTGGTCTGTGCAAGCAGGATGCGGATTCGTATCGACCAGCCATCGGTGGGATTCGAACCCGGTTTATCTCATTGGAAGGCGAATGCTCTATTGTGAACTATAATTGTTCATCCCGCTGTTATCATGGGGATCATGGATGATAAGGTTCCACAATTTCGTAAACAACGGCATGGTAATGGTAATGCGGTCAGCTTTACGCACCGGTCACTTTTACATCACTAACAAGATTGCACACATTGACTTGAAGCTGGGTGGGCAGCAAGCCTACAACGGGGATTTATTTGATTAAATATGTAAAAAATATAGTTTGTTATCGATTTAAATTGCGTGCTAAAAACTTAGTTTATAGAAATAATTAAATAATATCACTAATTTAATGCATCTAATTTTTAGCAGTTCTGGTGTAAAAGTTTTTACTGCAATAAGTAAACAAGTATAATTTTGAACTATCGTTAGTAAAAAGTGTCAGACAAATAAAAAAAAAACAAATTAATGAAAGCTCATAAAAATAAAATATTGGAAAACAGCGAATTACGTAAAAGTGCAATAAATAAATAAATCTACACATGTAGGAGCATATTTTTTGTAAATATGTAATGGCAACAGCGGATATGTTTTGTAACATAAAAATTCGTAGAAAGTCAATACGAAATGTACGTGAATGTCGCAAGTTACGAGTATGCTTATACTATCAATATACACCGAAGAGTCATTACACTATGACCACCCTGCTAATAACAAGTAGGCCCACCTTTAGCCCTCAAAACTGCTAGCACTCGCCGTGACATTGATTCCGCAAGGTGCTAATAGGTAGTCTGAGGTATCTGGTACCAAGCGCTCACCAACTAATCCTGGAATTCCCTCACATTGCGAGGGGGTAGCATGGCAGCACGAATTTGGTTTTCTAAGTAGGACCACAAATGCTCTATTGGATTAAGGTCAGGTGAATTTGGGGGCCAAGACATGACTTGAAAGTCACTGGAATGCTCCTCGACGATTCGACCCTTATGACATGGTGCATT